CTAGAAGCGGTGGTTGCAGAGGGGGAGGGAGATGACTGAGCTGTCAGGCTGTGCCGAGAGCTCAACTGAGGCCGAAGAGCCAGAGCTGTAGCAGGCACCGTCGGTCTGCCTGTGGCTGTTTGCTGGGCCGGGCTCGGCACCCAGGCAAGCCGCAGGGCACGCAGGCCCGCTGGTGCATTCCACCTGGGAAGCCGCAGGGCCCGCAGGCCCGCTGGGGCAATCCACCTGGGAAGCCGCAGGGCCCGCAGGCCCGCTGGGGCAATCCACCTGGGAAGCCGCAGGGCACGCAGGCCCGCTGGGGCAATCCACCTGGGACGGGGGAGTGGAGGTGCTGGTAACGAGCATGGAGCGTCGAAGTGACGGATCCGTGGGGGGCCTTGGTTTACCGCAAGTCAGTCAAGGTGGATCTTGGGCGAGGGAGCAGGAATCCCAGGGAAACTGGAGAGCTGGTTGTGGTGATTACGTGTGTGAAAAAGCCGCAGAGTGAGAGGATCGTAAGACACGACAGCAGTGCCGCTTAGAGAAGTGAGGGTGGAAATGGTGACGGCGTCCCGGCCCGAATGGGGTTTGGGGTGAGGTCTTGGTGGTACTCGGCTGAAGTGAGTGGAAATGGAGGTCTCAGGGACTGGAGAGGTCGGGATATTGAGGCCAGGGTATTCACTAGGCCATCCACTCTTCCCAGAGATGACAGACACCCAAGATTTGAGTAGGAATGGGGGTGGAGATGAAAATTAGGAGCTGGCTGGAGAAGATTTGAAGGATGTGGGAGAATGATCAGGAGTCCCCCAGCTGAGGAGGAAGAGAAGAATCACAGCGGGAAGGCAGGACCTTGTCCCTTGTTCCCAGGACACAGCAGAGCAGGGAGCATGAGTCAGGCTTGGGGTCAGCTGCGGCAGCCGTGGGATGGTTTCGGAGTTTGGGACAGCAGGAGGCAGGACCAGGAGTGACCAAGGCCCTGTGGGTGGACAGGAGACAGGCTGGGCTTACATTCTTCTCTTGGATTGGAGGACACCTCACGGTTGCCAACTCTTCATTCCACCAAATAAGACTAATTTTTAAACAAAACAAATGAACCCTCATCATATTGTAAAAGGACGTGAACATGCCAAGTTAGGAAGGACGACGATCGACGCAGGCAATTACATTTTACCTTCCAGATGGCACCTTCCAGACTCCTCCTTATTCCTGGATGAAGAACAAAAACTCCCTGTCAAGCTGTCTGTTGGATTTGGGTGCCCATCCACTGTGGTGCCCGGCTGTGGACATGGAGGCGCAGGGGCCAGGCAGGCACGCACGGTGCCTGGAGCCACCGAGCTAGGACAGAGGAGCCACAGGGCCGGGGCGGGGCGGCGGGGCGGCGGGGCGGCGGGGCGGCGGGGCGGCGGTGCTGATGGGCAGGAAGTGAGGTGCCTGAGACTGGGCTGGGTGGGTGAGGCGAAGCAGGAATCAGGCCGAAGTCAGGAAGAAAATTCTGATGTCGCTGCATTGGCGTGGGCTCCTATGCCCCTTTGAGACTGTCCCCTCCCCTGGAACATAAGTCAGGCTCAGACCTCCACAGTTCTGAAAAGAGAGTGATTCAAATGCAGCAGGATATCAGCAGCTTGGCTCAGAGACCATGCAAGTGGCCATGCTCCCTGAGTCCTCCCGTCCACCCCCGGGAACTCAATGATTCCCGATGACCTCCCTAGGAGGGAACATCCTGTATTATCCCCATTTTCCAGATGAGGAAACTGAGGCTCAGAGAGGGAGCGTGTTCTGCCCGAGGTCACAGGGCTGTTCAGTGGAAGAGTGGGGATGCCCCCCAGGAGCCTGGCTGCTGAACCAAGTGCGTCTCATGCGTGACATAGACTCGGAGCCCATCACGAGTCACGGGCTGGGTGGCGTGTCATCGCTAAATCTGGAATCTCCTTTGAGCCTGTTCAAAGTAGCCACGGAGAGAGGAGCCCGAGATGCGGCTATTGTGTGAGCTACATGGAGAAGGAGTTCAGTGTCTGCTGGAAACTAAATACACACCAATAAGTAGCTTTCCTTTAGGTCGGTAATAACCGTTTAAAAAATATAATGAAAGACATCCCATTCCATTCTGAATGACGTCAAAAGTTACATATACAAACTTGAAATCTTTTTCTCAAATGAAGTTTTCCAATTCATGTCCCAAAGGAGCATTCGTGAAACTTGACAAAATGGATCAGCACTTTGTCTGATAAATAAATGACCCAAAACAACCGAGAAATATTTCTAAAAGAACAATAACATGGAAAGACTTTTCACGCCAGGTGGTAAACTGTATTATAAAGTGACGACAGCTTAAGGGGTGTGTGAGTAGGACCAGAATCAACGAAATGAATGAAAAAGAGTTGCTCCTCACCAAGCAAATGCTGTTTATAAAGGACTTAATATAGAATAAATACAGCATTTCCAATTCAAAAGGAGATTTTAAGAAATTGGTGATGCTGGCATTGCAGTTTACAAAATATGTTTTAAACATCAGAAAATAATCCCAGCTCATCGCAGACGCTGCTTTGAGCAGACTCATCCTTTGGGTGAGTGGAAAGGCTGCTTAGATGGACAGGAATCGCAGCGGTGTGCTGGGTTCTTGGCAAACAGTAAACTCATGGAATGCTACCGAGATGCCCAGCCTCCGTGCCTCACCGTGCTTTTGCATTCACAAAGAAAATTGCTATCAGAGGGGTCCGGAGCTGCCTGAAGCCCAACTGTTGGCTTCTGCAAGACAGCAATCACTCACCCTGGGGGGCCTGGCGGTGGGAGGATGGGGACAGGTGGAGGGTGTGGCAGAGACTTGTCTCCAGGCCCTGGATGGCGACAGCTGAGCTGGCTCTCACTTCGGAGATGAAAGCCAGCCTTTAATTACAGCGCTTTCCCCAGACATCAAGCTAAACGCAGAGTGCGGCCAAAGCTTCCGTTTTAAGACCATAATTGGCAAGTCTGGTCCCGAAGCCCATCATAACTGTTCTCTGAAATGGCAGTGTCCTTATCATCTAAAAATATGCAGCGCCGTCTGGTCATGTTGCAAAAATGCCGCTGGTGCTGATCGTGAGAATAAAAAGCATCTCTCGCCGGGAGACCAGGTCCCGGGGCAGAGAGAGACTCCAGGCCGAGTGTAGGGTCCGCCTTCTCCTCGCTGAGTCTGGTGCAAGCGGGTGGTACGGTTTGGTGACTTCTCTGCAGACACCTGTTCCTCTCTCTCTTTCTGATTTTATTGAGAAACCAAACAAAAAAAGGGGTGTGGGGCTAGATTGTTTGGGTACTTTCCTCTCTTTCCGATTTAGGTGGCGCTCTGGGTGTCAGACAGGTCTGAGACAGACAGACACCACAATGGCCTTGCTGGACCTGGGGTACAGCAGTCGTCTGGCTAGGACGCTCAGCGCTACAGCAAGCTTCGAGGGGACAGAGCCCGGAGGCCGAGCTCACCTCTGGCGTGGTCACTGTCCGGCTCATTGTTCTTAGACAGGCACATGCGTTCTCTGAGCTCGTGACCCCTCATTGGTGAAGGAGGCCCTGGCGTCCCGACCCCTCCCCTCACCCGGGACACTTTGGGGATGAGATGGGAGGGTGTTTGACGAGGGGTACTGAGGCGATGGAGGAACACCCCAACGGGCTTCGCTGATGAGGGACCACGCTTGTAAACTGTAGAGTGCTGTCCCTGCCACGCCGTGGGGTTCTGATAGCACAAGTCAAAGCTCACAACTATTTATTAGTAGAGTGAACGGCTGTGGTCTTCTGAAAAAAAAGTCAAAGACAAAAACCAAAATTAAATAGATTTTCACCTTTAACTATCAATGACACACCCACTGATTGCTCCCTGGAATGTTCTAGAATCAGTGTTTCTGAAGGACCGTAGAGGCCTGTGTCGGGAGGCAACATTGTGGGGACAGAACACTGTAACCATTGCCCAAGCCCCCCCGCCCGTCCTCACCGTGGGAGCTTACGCCCCTGCTCAGGGTCACTCTGTCCCCGCAGGGACACAGGTGTCCTGCAGATGTCTCTGCCAACCTCCCTCTGGCCGCTACAGCCGCGTGTCCCTCGCTGTGACAGCATGTCCTGTGCACAGGACGTGGGGGCTCGTACGGCCTGCGTGCAAAGCCCCACTTTCCGTCTCGTTCCACCGCCAGGAGCCACACGCTCTCGGGCGAGCTGCGCTAACCCTCCGTGCCCGGTGCCGTCTTCATGTCCGACGCCGGGTGCCTCAGCGGGGTTTGCAGGAAGCAGGCTGACGTGCAGATTTGCATGCGGGGAGTCAGGGTGCACCTGTAAGGAAGCGGGCACATTGGGCGGGGCCAGAGGGCGAACTGCGGTGAACCCCAGCAATGGCCCCACGGGTGCCCCTGGAGCGGACGCCGGGCTGGCCCTCCGGGGCTGTCCTGCCTGGAGGCCAGGGGAATAGGCTGTTGTGTTCCCACAGGGACTAGTTTGGGGACACAGGCTGATCCTGGGGAGGGGAGGCAGCTATCGGTCCTAAGGCAATTCCTGGGGAGGGCTCAGCTGGGAGCCCCCAGCCACCAACTTCCCAACAGGTGGCTCAGGCAGCACACGGTACCACTGTGGAGAGCGATGGTCTCTCCCTCTGTGGGCTGAGGAGGGCTTGAACAACACCGAACCACGGTGTCACATAACAACACAGACAGCCTGTCGCCATCACTGTCACCTGACCTCATTCTAATGAGTGCCTTCTAACAGCACATGATGATGTTCATCACTTCTCTCCCAGTCTGCTGTGACCTGCGTAACAGAAACAGCCATGCTTGTGTTTGGGGTGTGTCTGTTTACCTTTGTATCCCTGGGCTTGAGCACAGACTTGGCCCATGAAAACTTTACTAGCTGGTTGTAGAATGGACAGTTGTATAGGGAGTGGAACACACTACAGTAAAGACTGAGAAGAGGGTGCCCTGGGGCTCCCTTTGGGGACATCAGGTGGCACTCTGCTGTCTTCATGCCCCAGGTGAAAGTGGTGTGTGACGGACATCTGCTTTCTCTCCCAGTCGCTCTAGACTCATGGCAGACCCTGGGCCTCTCCTCAGTGGTTGTGGACCCGTCCATCAGGGACTTTGATGTTGCCCACATCAGCACAGCCGCCATCGGCGACTTCTCTGCTGCCCGAGACCTCTGTTTGTCGGGTAAGGGGAGTTTCCCGCCTCCCACAGTGCAGTTGATTGGGACAGGGCCTCATACAACTGCCGCTCAAGATTCTGGCCTCAGAAACACATAGGAGGTCCCCAGACGCAGGGGTGCCTGGCAGGGAGACATTGACCGGGAGGGAGACCCTGGGGGGCTCTCCCCTGCAGCGCCCTCATCCCCCCCAGAGTCAGCCCGAAGTCCAGGTCTCCATGGGGATGTGCCACAGACAGAATGAGTCACATGGAACCAGGTCAGAGGAGGGTTGGGGGAATGATCTGGGGGCTAGTCTGAGGCAGGAGAGGAGCGGAGGGGTGACAGCTATCCTGAGGTTACAGGTGGCCGTCATGATGTGGGAGGAACAGGCTTGTCCTGGCCAGGCTCGTGGGGCAAAGCTCAGACTTACGCTTAAAACTCAAATTTCAAGAGACAGATTTCGGTGCAATATAAAGAACTTTCTAGTAGACAAAGCTGTCCACAAATGTGCACTTAATTTAGAGGTAAAAGCTAGGTGACCACTCAGTACGAATGTTGTACAAAGACTTTAGCTTCTGCAAGAGCCTGAGATGTAACAGTCACACTCCAATTCTGAGATTCCCTGAGTCTCCTCCCCCTGCAAGGCTGGATAAGTCACAATGCGCATGCCCTACGGACAGGGCTGCCACAGACGGAGCACAGGCGGTGGGTGCTCTGCACCAGACTGGGTAGTGCCACAGCCCAGAGACCTGGTACAAATAAGGCCTGTAGACAGAGCCCAGCTTGCCCAAGCGAATGAGGCAGCACCCTTTCAAAGCTGTCCTTAGGATGGGAATGCCATGCATAATTTAAAGTGTCTGGTATAGGAACTGGCATCCCTGGGAGATGACATAACCCCTCGTGGACATGCTGGTATGATGGGGAGGAGGAAGGGAGATGAGGCTGAAGAGGAAGGCAAAGGCTGGAGTATAGAGACCCCTATTAGGTATGACTTAATCCTGAGGCCAGTAGGGAGCCAGCGTGTATTTTAAATAGTTGAATGACAAGAGCACATATGTGAATAAATAAACAACCCAAAAGCTGACTGCTATGAGGAAAATAGAGGATGGGAGAGTTGGGTTCTTCCCCATGAGCATTTTATTCCCACCTCCTACAACAGCGCCTGGGATATATAGTAGGTGCTTAAAGGAATAAGTGAGTGGTTGCATGCATGGTGAATGGGTTTGATGCATGGGTGGGTAGATGGATACATAGATGAATGGGTGGGTGGATGAATGGATGTATGGATGAATGGATGGACAAATGGATGGATGCACTGATGCATGGATGCATGCATGGATGCATGAAAGCATGAATGCATAGTTGGATGGATACAGGATAGATGGATGCATAAATGAATGATTGCACAGATGCAAGAGTGTATGAATGCACAGATAAATGGTTGTATGAATGCACAGATAGATGGTTGTATGGATGCACGAATAGATGGTTGTATGAATGCACGGATAGATGGTTGTATGGATGCATGGATAGATGGTTGTATGGATGCATGGATAGATGGTTGTATGGATGCACGGATAGATGGTTATATGGATGCATGGATAGATGGTTGTATGGATGCATGGATAGATGGTTGTATGGATGCATGGATACATGGATGATGCATTGATGTAGGGAGGGATGAATGCATGGATGCAGGGATGGGTGTATAGATGAATGGTTGCATGGATGCAGGGATGGACGAAGGCATGGATGCATGATTGGGTGGCATCTCTGAAACCCAAACCTCACTCTTCTCCCCCTACTCCTCAGAGTGTTCCCGTCACCAAGCCTGCCAGGTCACCACTTTGCAGACCCGACCTGGTGCTCTGAGGTGTGTGTTCTATGCTGACACCCACATCTGCACACATAGCCTGCAGGCCCAGTACTGCCAACTTCTGCTTCGTGAAGAGGCCACCTACATCTACCGGAAGCTGAGTAAGTCCAGGCCTGTGCCTTTGGGGCCATTCCTGGGAGCCGGGGTATGGCCGAGAGGAACTGCTAATGGTATATTTCACCCGCAGTGTAGCTCATTTGCATGGTAGCCCTGCTGAGAAATGCCTTAGCTTTGAGGTTTGAGTTCTGTAAAATAAATCAGACCCTGTCTCTGTTCACTGTGTGTGAGTCCAGTTCCATGTGAAATGCTCACCTCGGGCAGAAGAGGCCTGCCCACCTGTCTATAGGCGTTGTGGTCTGTGCCTAATGCTCCTGTAGCGGTACCAGAAGGTAATTTTCTTCATGCAAGTAGTTAAGAAATAGCGAAATGGCCCGAATACGTGGCTATTCTGGAAGGAATCCCCACTTCTGCAAAAGCGTTCGGAAGGGAGGAGCTGCTCTGACGTTCCCCCGTGCTGGCTCCCGGTCCGTGGGATTCATCGGGCAGGCTCGGCGAGGGAGCGCCGGATGCCACTGTCCGTGGGAAAGCCGGCTGCATTCCCTAGAAATTCTTCGTTTTTATGTTTTCTGTCCTTGCTCCCCCTTCGGATGATGCCACGTTCATGAAACGCGGCTGTTTACTGCAAAGCCGAAGAATCGGCCTCGGAAAGTTCTGCCACATGAGTGCCCACAGTCTTGCATGCTTGCCGAGACCCTGTGATTTACAACTGAAACAGGAAATCTTGTGAGAAGGCACGGTGGGGGCGAGATCGGTCAGGGTTTGCCGTGGAGGCCAGATTACAAACAGCAACAATTTCTTTCCATCCTCAGTTTCCGGTTTGAGTTTCCACTCACACTCCCAGTGTTCTTTCACACAGAGGAGGTTTCACTCAGTTTCCCTCCTTCCTCCCTTTCTTCCTCCCTTCCTCCTCTTCTTTCTTCCCTCCCTCTTTTTCTTTCATTCATTCATTCATTCATTCATTCACTCGCTGAGCTGCCATTTGCCAGGCACTGAGCATGGAATATTATACACACGGTGTTACTTATTCCTAACATCTTTGTGTTGTAGGCACTGCTATTACTTCTATTTTGCAGGTGAGAAAATTGAGGGTCCATAAAATTATAGTTTTACAAAGTAGCTGGTCCTTAACATAAAACACTAGACACCAGAAGCCATCTATCTGTCAAATGTGCCCTGGGGGCAGAATCACCTTCTGTCAAGCATTGCATTCCACCCAGCTTCTGGGGAATGGATGGACTTCTGTCTGTCTGTCTCCTGTCCCAGGCTCCTGTTAGTCATCACAGACGTATCACACGTAGAAGGAGTGAAGAGGGCATAGCAAAGCCTTCTCTTGATCAGCCCGCAGAGAAGCTGAGCAAAGCAAACACACTGGATGGAGATACTACGAGAATAAGTTCTCTCTCTCTCTCTCTGCCCTAAGGGAATCAGGCACAGGCCTGTCTCAAGTCCCGGAAAATGGCAGTTGGCACTTAATCGCATCAATGAATGAAGGGAAAGCGAGTTAGTAGAGGAGATAAGCAGAATTGGCTTCAGAGAGGCTGATGGGTGTCTGGGGATTAGCATCACCAGGAATGGATGGGAGGTGCCCTGGAGCACGGAGCTCTGATGGTGGGTGGCTTCAGCTTTGACCTAACAGACCAGGTGGGGTTGGGACAGGAACAAAGGGAGGAAGGACATTGCAGGCATGAGCAGAGAGGGGCCCTGACCTGACCTTTGACCCTGTGCGAATGGGCACGGGCAAGGCTGGGGTTCAGAAAGGCATGGCTTTGAATCTCACATCAGCTTGAAGTCCCCGCAGCCCCCACCCTGGACTCCCCCACCCATTTCCTCACCACCGAAATGCAAAGAGGGGGCTCCAGGTCCTTGGCTGCAATTCTGAAATCTGAAGGTTCTGAAAGTCAGAAAAACACATTTTTTATTGTAAGTTGGTGGCAAATTCATTTCGTGGCAAAATCTGAGCTAGGTTTTGTGACTAAAGACATTATATTCTTTATTCATTGCTCTTAGTAGGAACCATCCGTGCGTTTTATCACAGAAATACTTGCGTTTGATGATGGGGCTCTACTCTCGACCGCCCTGGGAAGACTGCATGTCGCATGTCTGTGTCCTTCGATTCTTTTTTTTTCCTTTCCTCACCCGAGGACATTTTTGCATTTATCTTCAGATAGAGCAGGAGGGAGAGAGGGGGAAAGAGAGAGAGAGAGAAACATCGATGCGAGAGAGACACATTGACTGGCTGCCACCCACACAACCCAACCAGGGCCGGGGACAAACTGCAAACGAGGTGCGTGCCCTTAGCGGGAACCGAACCCGGGACTCTCTGGTCCGCGGGCCGATGCTCTAACCGCTGAGCCAAACCGGCCAGGGCGCCTTCGGTCCTTTTAAAATCCAAACAGTTCTGAGTTGTGGCGCACCTCTGGCCTAAGGCGCTGCCAAGGGGCGGGGCCTGGGTCAGTGTCTTGGGAAGAACGGATGAGCTGGTACCAGGAGAGAAGGGTTGGAGCTGCACTCTGCCTACTCTGCTGGGGGAGACCAGCTGTCTTTGCTATTTTCTGGGTTTTTGCATGGAGCACTAACCTCCCCAGATGCAAGCTATTGGGGTCTGAGTGAATCACCAACATTTTCAAAGTGAAAACAGCAGTGTTTGTTTCTTAAAGTCGTCAGAATATTCCTCGTGAACGGAGCACCCCTGCTCTCTCCCCTCCTCCCCCACTCCCCGTCCCAACAGGCACCCCTCGGCTTGGCTTTGGGACATCCGTACCTTCTGTGACCATCGCCCCCCACGGCCAGCTGCTGGGCAGGTCCCAGGCCATCCAGGTGGGCACTTCGTGGAAGCAAGTGGACCAGTTCCTGGGAGTGCCATATGCCGCCCCGCCCCTGGCAGGGAGCCGCTTCCGGGCACCGGAGCCCTTGAACTGGACAGGGTCCTGGGCTGCCACCAAGCCACGGTAAGGGTTGAGTGTAGTACGCTTTGGTAAACTGCTCCGCCATTCTAATCCATCCACGTCAGACTTGATGGCACAATGGTGCATTCGGGTTTGAATGGTGCATGGGGTGGAGGCTGTCTAGTCAAGGTGGCATTATGTGCTCTGGCAGACAAACCCTCTCCCCCCAGATATCAGTAACTTAGCATTACCTTGCTCCTATGAAGTCCATTTGACGGTGGAGGGGCCAGTGTGCTCGGCTTCATGCAGTGATTCGGGGATCTAATTGCTGCAGGGCTGGTGGGCAGTGGGCTCTGGCCACTGAGTTGGGCTGGAAGAGGACATGGGGCGTCTCCCGTTGGTTGTTTCTCCTGGACGTCAGACAGTCTGTGTCTGCAGGGCCAGCTGCTGGCAGCCAGGAGTCAGGACGCCTGCGTCTTCCAGAGTCAGCGAGGATTGCTTGTATCTCAACGTGTTTGTCCCTCCGAACCTGGTGAGTTCTGCAGTCTTTGCTGTGTTTGCCTTGAGAGCTGCCCATTAGCGACTCCAGACCCCCACAGCCACCAGCGGCGTTTACGTACCTTCACTCGGGTTATGCTCCCCCAGCCCCGTCCCAGCTGGTCTCGAATGGCCGAGAGCAGCAAGGGTCCTCCTGGTTCCTACATGTGCCCCTCACCACATCCTGTTGCTCCATCCACGTGGGAACAGTGCGTGCTTATCCCCATCCAGTGCTCTAAGAATATTCGTACTGGGTCTGTGATGGGCCAGACTCTCCGAGGTGGGCCACAGCTATAAACAAAACCAAGCAGCGGCCCTGAGGGGCTTATGCTTTAGTGGGAAAGGGCAGAAATAAACAAATAAGCAAGTAGATATTGAACAACAAACAAATATTAAAGAAAAACACAGCACAGGAGGAAACAGCAATGACAAGCGGTGTTGGGTGGTGCCATTCCAGCAGGGTCATGCAGGAGGGAATGGCGTGAGCTAGGCAGGTAGGGCAGGACCAGTGATGCAGAGTTGGGGGCTACAGGCTGGGGGAAGAGACCAGATTCAAATTGGTTTTCAAATGAGGAATGACGTCTCTCCTTCGGAAGACCCTTGGAGAGACCTCTGGGGCCATCTCCTTGGAGCTTCCCCTGCGGACTCCTGTTTGAGGCAGTTCTGGAGGGTGAGGTTGGGGTCTGACCTGGACCGCGGTTCCGCCCTGTTCTGAAACCTGTATTTGCCTGAGTAGAGGCTATGACCTGGTGTTCAGTGTTTGAGTTTCCTGCTTTGGGGATAGGGTCAGAGCACTTGAGAGAAAAAGGAACCGATGAACTTTAGAAAACATGATTTTCTAGTTCCCCAGTGTTGACTATCTCAGGGTACACAGGGCCATGTTGCCACTTCCTGGTCCCCTAATCTACTAGCAATGAGAGTCAACTGCACCTTGGGGATTCGATCGTAGCTAGCTAATCTGAGTGAGCTCTGTAACAAGGCCACCTGAAACATGAAAGCTCCCATGGGTTGCATTAATAGAAATATGGAGCCTAGAGTGAGGGAGGTGATAAGAACCCATTGTGCCCATGCTGAATTAAGTTCTGTCTCTAAACCAACTTACCACTGATTACTACCTCACTGGCATAGAGAAGGTAACTCAAGTTCGAGGTGCCCTAGTTACCTTGTCTGAATGTAGAGAGAGAAATGGTGTGTGCCTCATAAAGTTCTTGAGAGAATTAAATAAAACAACATGTTTATATTAATAATTGATGGATCCCTGACACATACTAGTGACTCAATGAATGGTATACTTCCTTTGGATCCTCACAACACCTCTAAGAGGTGTTATTTCCATTTTTTCAGATGAAAAACCCATGGCTCAGAGAGGCCTAGGGAATAGGGGTTCAACATGTGAACTTGGGGGGACACATTTCGGCCCATAACATGGGGCCAAGTGTCCCTACAGGGCGGAGTTGATAAGAAGAGTATGTGTAGGCTCAGACCCTGGCACCTGTATGGGAACGGAGCCCTCACCACGCTCCGGTGGGTGGGAATGGGCCAGCCTCTAGCTCCCACATTTCTTCAACCCCACAGGCCCCCAATGCGTCCGTCCTGGTGTTCTTCCACAACACCATGGAGGCCCGGGATGGCGAGGGAAGCCTAGCCCTGGACGGCTCCTTCCTGGCTGCTACTGGCAACCTCATTGTGGTCACTGCTGGCTACCGAGTGGGCGTCTTCGGCTTCCTGAGTTCTGGTGAGTTGCTGGCATTGGCAGGGACTGCTGGTCCCTAAGCGGAAGCTTGCTCTGGGTGTGCTCAGTCCCTTCTTCCCAAGCGTCATCCTTCATGGTCCCTGCGCCTCTCCAGCCCAGCTGAGCACTCAGTGGGGCATCCAGCACGCTCAGGACACCCCATGATGCTCACACCCACAGACAAGGCAGTAGTCGCGTTGGTTGAACCTAACGTCTGAAGCTGTCCCAAGGACCTTACATGTCTTATCTTGTGGTGTGTGTGTGTGTGTGTGTGTGTGTGTGTGTGTGTATGTGTGTTGAGGCCCTAGGAGGTTAGACAGTTCTCAAGGTCACGTGGTCAGGAAAGAGCAGATGCCGGGATTCATCACCAGGGGTGACACCCTGCAGCTCTAACGGGTGGCTTGTAGCTCTTGGGCCCACAGGGAAACCATGGGCCTGGGAGTGGGGGCTACATCAACAATGTGCCTTCCCAGCTGGCTGGTGTGGCTCAGTGGACTGAGTATTGTCCCATGGACTGAGAGATCCCGGTTCGACTCCCAGTCAGGGCACATGCCCAGGTTGCAGGATTGATCCCCAGTAGGGGGCGTGCAGGAGGCAGCCGATCAATGTTTCTCTCTCACATTGACCTTTCTCTCTCTCTCTAAAAAAATCAATAAAAACATATTTAAAAAATAAATAAATAACATGCTTTCCCTTTAATTCCGGCCTCACTTGTGAACATTGGCCTGCCCCTCTGGTCACAGACAATTTATCCCCTGGTTGCACCCCACCCCTCACCCCCAGCTGGAGCTGAGGCCGGGGCCAATCCCCAAACCTCCTTCCACATCTTCTCCTTCTCCAGCTCCACCTGGATTGACAGGTGTCAGGCCCGTGCTAGTCTGGGAATTTGAAGAGCGTCATTGTCCGACCTTGGACAAAACGCTTTCTTTCTTGGCCTGTAAACTGAGAATCACTTTACCCGACTCCCAAAGCCCCTGTGAGGCACCGGCGAGGCAGTGCGTGGGAAAGGGCCTCCCGAGCCCTCGGGGACGGGCACTGGGCGCCGGCTCTGCTCTCCCAGGACCTCATGTGAGACCGGAGAGTCTTACCTGCTGAGAATGGTGGGGGGGAGGGGCAGGGCCAAAGGACAGCCTGGCCCGGCACTCAGGGGAGTGGGTGGGCCTCAGCGTGACACCCAGGGCCTGGGAATGAGGGCTGATGGACCGCCAGACCGGAGCCTCGAGGGCCGTGAGGAAGATTCTGGGCCTGCATGACAAACATGGAACAGCCACAAGTTGCAACCAGATGCCACCAGCTGCCACGGCGGGAAATGTGGATGCCGAACAGACTTCTGATGTCCTCCAGGGGCAGGTCAGCTGCGGGCACGCTGGAGACACCCACCTGGGTTTCCTTCCCTCTTCCAGTACCCGCTGACTGCCCCTCGGTCAGCAGCTCCTTCCTCTGGAGAGGCCGGAGAGGGTCAGGCCTCACCCTGCTGAGTGTGCTCGGTGGAGCTTTGCACGGACGTCCTGGTGGCAGAGAGACTTTCTACAGGTCGGCGTCCCTGCGCGGCCGAGGACTCCGACCTCAAGGCCTGCGATCTCGCTGAGCATCCTGCGCTCCTGGGAAGGCCTGCTCATTCTGCTGCGGCGGGGCACTGGCGGGGGAGGCTGAGGAAACTTCCAGAACACTCAACCCTTCACATCCTGACTTGCAATGTTCCCTGTTCATTGTGCTTAAATCAAAACTGTCCATCGAAGAGAAGGAAAGGCACACTCAGCGAGCATCTCTCTCTCTTCGTTTGTTAATACTCACCCAAGGATGTTTTCCATTGATTTTCAGAGAAAGTGGAAGAAAGGAAGGGAGGGAGAAAGAGAGAGAAACATCAATGTGAGAGAGACACGTCAATCGAGGACCTCCTGCATGACCCCCACTGGGGCTGGGGATTGAACCTGCAACCCAAGTACATTTCCTTGACTGGAATTGAGCTCCAGGCTCTTTGGTCCCTGGGCTGAAGCTCACTGCTGAGCCACAGCAGTTCGCCCAGAGGGGCCTGTTTGATCTCAAGCAGGCTCCGTGGGTGGGGCCTTTTCCCGCGTGCAGCCATGCACTCTGAGAGCTGAAGGAACGGTGGCCCGCGGGCCAGAGCAGCAGGCTGGGCCATACACCCGGGCGTCAAACCCGAAGATATGCACTGCAGCCCCCGCTCCATGTCTGGGAACAGACCTGAGCGCACAGAGCAGGCTGGGCCTTTGACACTCACCTCTCTGTAGGCGGCTCTTTTTTGCTGTATTTGCAAGGCTTCCTAGCGGTTCCCATATCCCGAGACTTCATTTCCCTTCCTTGGCGCCTCCCTGCAATGCAGCCAGGATCCGGGGACTTAGGAGAGGACTCAGGGACCGGGATAGTCCAATCGCTGGAGTCCCCCGGTAATGACGCAAAGCATGGCGTTGCATAGGTGTGTGTGGCCTGGCTGGTGTGGCCCAGAGCGCCCGAGAGCCCGGGCCCCAGGAGCACGTTGCAAAGGGGGTGGAGACAGATGCCTGATGTGACAGCTGCACCGCCCTGCGCCCTGGGCAGACTAGGCTCTCGGGAGACGGGAGGCCAGGCCCAGCAGTGTGCGAGGGATCGTAGGTCCTGCTGAACTGAGCGGGCGGAAAGGAAGTGAGGGGTCGGTGGTGGGCTGGGAGGCCATTTCCCTGGCCTGGATCCTGCAGGCGGGATGGACCCCAGGGGCGTGGGGTGCAGCGACCACCTGTCTCTTGAGGGGGACCGGCAGTGTGCTGGGTCAGCGGGAGAGGGGTGAGCCGAGGCCGCGGGCCGCTCTGGTGGAGGAGCAGAGGACGAGAGCTGTGGCCAGACAGAAGGCCAGGCACAGCCCGGTACCATGAGCTCATCGTCCTTGAGGCCCTCGGAGGCCTCCGAGAGGGTCAGCCACTTTCCCTGGTCAGAACAACAGGACAGAGGCCTGTCCCAGCAAGCGACCCACCACAGGTGGCACTGACGACAAGGCCGTCCCTGCAGAGTGCTTCTGGACATAGGCCTGGGACCTAAACCCGTTGTGTTGAAGAGAAAACAGCTTCTGTCGAGCTGTGTGCCAGGCACTGTTCTTTCCGCTTACGAACACTGATTAATTCAATTATCATGACAACCTAACGTGCCAGGACAGAGGGTGGCCCGAATGTGAGCTGCCTCTGATCTGAGCAACCACCTCGAGGGGAGGGGAGGGCTGCGGTCCCGAGCCGTGGAGGAGGGGAGGGCTGCGGTCCCGAGCCGTGGAGGAGGGGAGGGCTGTGGTCCCGAGCCGTGGAGGAGGGGAGGGCTGCGGTCCCGAGCCGTGGAGGAGGGGAGGGCTGCGGTCCCGAGACGTGGAGGAGGGGAGGGCTGCGGTCCCGAGCCGTGGAGGAGGGGAGGGCTGCGGTCCCGAGCCGTGGAGGAGGGGAGGGCTGTGGTCCCGAGACGTGGAGGAGGCGAGGGCTGTGGTCCGAGACGTGGAGGAGGCGAGGGCTGTGGTCCGAGACGTGGAGTGTCACATCCAAGGTCTCCTACTAGACAGGCGGAGCCCACGCCTGGATGGTTCTGGCCCGGACCCATGCTCCCCCCGTGGCCACACTGAGCACGGTCCCGACCTGTGCAGACGGAAGTCCAGGTCCCCCAGAGGCACCGTGTGCCTCGACAGCAGCAAGATAATTAAATTCCAGTTGCAAAATCACATAAAAGTGAAAGGCTTTCCTCTTCCTGAAGGTTCCGGCGAGGTGAGCGGCAACTGGGGGCTGCTGGACCAGGTGGCAGCTCTGACTTGGGTGCAGACCCACATCGGAGCATTTGGTGGGGACCCTGGGCGAGTGACCATGGCAGCCGACCGGGGCGGAGCTGACCTGGCCGGCACCCACCTCCTGACCACCGGGGCTGGCGACTCCAGACTCTTCCGGAGAGCCCTGCTGATGGTGAGTGACCGCTCTGCCTCACCTGGCTGCAGGTGCGGGCCAGGCGAGGGGTCCTTCCTCGCGCGCGGCCAACTGGCTTGGTTCCCTTGTCCTTGGTTCTGAGTGAGCATCCTGCTCGTGGCTGTCCATGTGTACGCATGAGCCAGGGTGCTGAGGGCTCCCCCGTTGGCTGTCCGCTCACATCTCAAGTGCTGATAATTCCAGACGGGAGGTTCCGTTTCCTGGGGGTGCCGATGAATGGGGGTCAGAACCCTCCGTGACCTCCCTCATTCGCAGACAATGACGAGGGGGGGTGGGAGGTAGGATGCAAAGGCCTCCGATGGAGGAAGGTCATGATGAGGGTAGTTTGGCACACTCAGTGTTAGCTACACCTGCAGCAGCACCCAGCATAGGAGAGAAATCAAACTGAGCGAACTCTCGTCTGTTCCCCAGTGTTGCTCCCCTGATCCTCTCTGGGTTTGAACTTGGAGTGTTCCCTTAAGCTGTCTGGTTTCTTCAACAGCCCGTGCTCCATCCCGTTGTCCCCCACCCGCCGAGATTCCGTTCTGGTGGCATTTCACTGTGGGACAACCGGTGGTGGTTCGTGACTCTCACTGGTCCTTTGCACCTCACCTGTGCTCCCTTACCTGAGCTGTGAGGGGAGGTCGGGGACCCCGGCGCTTGTCCACACGGCTATTCAAGGAGTGGCAGGCGGCTGAGTCAGCAGCCACAGGGCAGGCCCTGAGCTCCCACGGTCTGGCCGACTGAGTTGTTGACTGTGGAATGAAGGCGATGATTCCACTGGATGGTCCGCAGTACCTGCTGGGTGGTGATGCTGCCGCCGATGTAATGATATTGATGACTATGATACAATGATGATGAAGACAATAATTACGATGGAAGAAATAACAGGAGTGACCACAACATAAGCCCTGAAAACTGTTCTGTCATGGGTTCGCTTCCAATGTTACTGCGCATCTAGTTGTTGGCAGGGCGGTGGTGGGCTGAAAAGGCCGTGCTCCATGATTCATGTCCTGGCTCCCGGAAGCTTGGAGTTTACTGTGGGGTGAGGGGCAGACACTTAAAGCAGGTATTTAAGAGAGGGTCTCAGGGGGGCTCGGAGAGAAGCCCCCACCAAGCACAGGGGAAGAAAGGGGTGTTGGGAAATGCTTCTCAGGAGAGGGAATATCTGAGCGAAATGCTGGGGACTGCAGGACTGTGTCCCCAAAGCTGGGCACCAGGGCACGCGTGACTTCCCGAGAGCTGCAGGCCTGAGATGCCGCGGGGGCCGGGCCTCCTGGGAAGCAGTGTGGGCGGGGGAGACAGAGAGCAGCCGGGTTTGCTGAACACCTTGGGCTCATTCATCCTGAGCATGTGGGAGCCGGACCATCGGAAGCGTTTGTGTGTCCGCTTGCTTGGTGTGGTTTCCCACTCCAACCCCTTCCGTGGACAGGTCCGTGCACACCACACGTGTACCGGGTCGTGCAATCCTCACCGCCAGCCGTTTCCATGACTTCTGTTTTATCACCAGAAACAGAACCTAATGAACAAAATCCCCGCTCTCCACCTCCTCCACCCCTGGAAACTTCCGTTGTACCTTCTAGCTCTGCCAACCTGCAGTCTGCCTTCCTCATACCAGGGGAATCGTGCAAGGGTCTCCTTTGGTGTCTGCCTCACGTCACTCAGCGTGTTCCAAGGTGCCTCTGCAGCCCGTGCTGGAGCTTATACCAGCACTTCATTCCTCGGTGAGGCCGGTAACATGCCACTGCGTGTGTACCCACTTTGGTCATCGAGTCACCTGCGCTCGGACGCTGTGCCCTCAGCCGTCGTGGGCGGTGCCGCCATGCATGTGCTGTGCCCTCAGCCGTCGTGGGCGGTGCCGCCATGCACGTTGTGAGTGATGCCGCCATGCACGCGCTGTGCCCTCAGCCGTCGTGGGCGGTGCCGCCATGCAAGGGCTGTGCCCTTGGCCGTTGTGAGTGATGCCGCCATGCACGCGCTGTGCCCTCAACCGTCGTGGATGGTGCCGCCATGCAAGGGCTGTGCCCTGGGCCGTTGTGAGTGATGCCACCATGCAAGGGCTGTGCCCTGGGCCGTTGTGAGTGATGCTGCCACGCACGTGCTGTGCCCTGGGCTGTCGTGGGCGGTGCCGCTATGCGCACGCCGTGCCCTCGGCCGTCGTGGATGGTGCCGCCATGCAAGGGCTGTGCCCTGGACCGTTGTGAGTGATGCCACCATGCAAGGGCTGTGCCCTGGGCTGTCGTGGGCGGTGCCGCTATGCGCACGCCGTGCCCTCGGCCGTCGTGGATGGTGCCGCCATGCAAGGGCTGTGCCCTGGGCCGTTGTGAGTGATGCCGCCATGCACGCGCTGTGCCCGTGGAGCACTGTAAGCAGCGGGAAAGCGCTTCCCTTTGGGACGACTTCTCTGAGAGCCGGCTGGAGGGTGGGTGGACAGTGCTGGGACAGAGAAAGCGACGGAGAGACCATTAGTAACACCGATCAAGGGAAGAGGGAGACCACTGAGGGACATCAGTGCCGCCGACCTGCTAGAATTCTCAGGGTCCCAGCTCTGCCCAGCCTTCCTGGGTCCCTGCCCTGGATCAGGAGGAGGGCAGGGTGGCATTGTTCGGGCAGAGCTGTGGGAGGTGAGCATGGTCACCGACAGGAAGTGCACGCCCTGCCACTTCGTGTTCTGTGCAGAACCCAGGGTCTGTGTGCTGCGTGCTGTCCCTTCCCGTGCCCAAAACACTGCCCTGCCATCTTCATCTTTGCTGCCCTGTCGTCCTCCAGGGCCCCCCCGCAGACCTGGCAGCTTGGAATCAGACCCTGCTACATGGCTTGTGCTGCCTGTTTATCTCTGCAGCATTTAGCGTGACTTCCCACCTGCACAGAATTGCTCCCTCTGCCTGCTCTGTCTCCCTCCCCAGATCCCCAGACGGCCAGCTCCCAGAGAACAGGGCTGGGCAACAGGGCTGGGCGTGCCTCACTCCGGCCTGCCTTGATCCCCACCCCGCCCCACCTGGCTCTCCACCCAGCCCCACCTGGCTCTCCACCTGACCCCATGCACCCAGCCCCATGCACCCAGCAGCTGTCTCACAGTAAATGCTGCATAAGGAGCCCAGGCAGGGGGCTAGCCGATGAATTGGGGCCCACAGGCTAGTCTGTCTCACCCCCCTTCCTGTCTGGGTCTTTTGTCCTTTGGTTCAGGTTTTCTTCAGTCTGTCCCTCTGTAGGGGTTGCACCCTTGTGGCAGGTGGTCTGAGCCCAAGTTTCTCAGTTTCTGGGACTGAAAGCAGACCTCCCTGACTCGAGCTGATCCCAGCGGTGTTTCTCCAGGGCCCCCTCAGAAACCAGACACTCAGTGGGACCCAGAAGACACCAAAAATACCTTCCAGTAGGCCCAGAAGGCAAAATTTTCTTTTTGAGAATTCTGGAGAGTTGAGGTGTTGGGGGAATTTCGAAAGCGAGTCTGTTCTGACAAACGGTAGTGTATGTAAAAATAAACCCGCCATCTGTTTCAGTCATTTCGGAGTGGCTTTTACAGCTCTTCCCGGCAGCCTCCGGGGTGCATGTGAAATGCTCTGGAAGCCAGGGAACTAAAATACGTCCACGTATTAGCAGTTCTTAAACGCGTTCTTCACCAGCAGATGTTTGGGGAATGCATGCAAGCTGGTGATACATTTTTGACACACATCTTGTCTTTCTGCAAATTCTCTGGGCCAGAACTGTGGCACTAGCAGGTGAGACAGACTCCTGTGATAATTAATCACTTACATTTATTTCTTTAGTGTGTTTGGGGCCACATAGAACGTACATCGTATTATCTCAGAGATTGCTCACTTTGAGTCACAGGGGATGTTTTTAAATATCTATTTAGAGATAAGAAATGTAAGGCACAGAGACGTTTAGCGACCTACTAAAGAACACACAGCAAAGGAGCTGCATTAAGGATTAGAACCTAAATCCAAATCCTGTATTTTCCCATTTGATGAAGCTGCTTCTCCAGGAACTTGGGACTCTTTTGGGGTGTCAATGTGTAAGACAAAGAAGCCAGGTTTGGGATTAGACACAACCGCATTAATATTCAATGGATGAGACCCTTTCCCTTGTGTTCTTCATAGATAAATAGGCATGGTTAATTCTGTTTCCCGAGGCCGAGAAGTTGTCATCATATAAGTTTGCAGAGTGCCCTGCACACCCCAGAACTCAAGAGACCCGCCCCCCCTTCCAAGAGAGATCACTGCAAACAAAAGGAATTGGGGTACTTCACCGGGCCTGGGGCCGAGGGGGGGGTGACATGTTGAACGCCTCCATTTTGTGACTCTGACACCCGGCCAGTTCTGAGAGAAGACAGAGGCCGCTCCCTCTGTGCTGAGATTCCCGGGGACCCAGCAGACATTTCCGCCGCCCCAGCTCCGCCTTCCTCAGACTGAACGCCAGGCCTCGGGACTTGGTCTCCAGCCAAATTCTCTGTCTCCTTTCCTACCCCGACCCTCTGCCCAGGCTCCTCAGGTGTCCCCATCCCTAGAAGACGCCAGGCCTCCCTCTGACCTTCCCATCACTGCTGTGTGAGCGGCATGTCCCCTCCTCTGTCCGAAAGGCGCCCCCTCCCTTGGGGCTCCGCCGAGACAGGGCCTCCGGCTTCCTCCTCTCTTCAGAGACTCACCGTGGTGAGGACCTCCACGGAGCAATTTGTAGGGGTTCCTATCCTGGATGCTTTTTATTTTTCTACTATAGTTACTCCAATTCTGCTATGCCTGGGTGCTCGATTGCGTACACGTGTTTCTCCTCTTACTGCTTCTTTAATACTCTGCGCAGCACCCGGTTCCCACAGGGCACCTGAGACCACGCTGCGCTGCTAGACCTGTGCCGGGACGTGGTGGTCTGGGGCAGAGTGCTGTTCTCTCCTGTTTCTGCACAAGTCCCATAGCAGGCGAACTCCTCTGTGCTTCTCAGTCCAAACTGACCTAGCTATTTGTGGCCTTTGATGCATATATATAATACTATATATATATATGGCATGATTCTCTTCTTAACTCAAGAATATTTTTACTATTTGTTCATTTTCTTTTTTGCTTCTAGGAACATAGAATGTTTACCCATCCTTTTGCAAATCGATTTCCAATTTTATTGCACTGTCACCATAGAGCGTGAACGGAAGATGCTGACTCGTGAAATGTGTGAGGACTTACTCTGACCTAACGTCGTCTTTGCTTTTTCGGCGGGAAGCTACACAGTGCTATTGAAATCTTCTCTCCTTGTTTCTCTCTATCTTTGCTTACTCTATCAGTCTCTGAGAGTTGTGTTAACATCTTCAAATGCAATGGCTGATTTAGCGTCTGTCCCTGTAATAGTTGCTCAACATACTTTGAAACGTACCTTGGGTTCATTTGGATTCGATCATCACATCTTCTTCACTGGTCCTTTGATAAATCTCTTTGGCCCTTGGGCAGAAATTTACTTCCACCTAAACCTCATTTTGCCTCAAAATTCCACAGGTTTTCCTTCTGTTCATTTTTGTATGGAAACATTCCCACTGACCTTCAAACTCTGCTTCCTTTGCTTTAACACGTGTCAGGTGGACATGAGGATGTGGGGGAGGATGTGGAGATTTGGAAAACCATTCTCCGCATAGCAGCCAATGTGCTCTTTGAAACATTTAAATGAGATGCGCTCACTCCCCTCCCGAGATCCTTCCAGTCGTTTCCCATTAGAATAGACCCAAACCCCTTCCCTTCCTGTCCCACCCAGGCCCTGCAGGCCCCACAGCCCTTTGCCCCCCACTCGGCCCAGCTCCCTGGCCTGCAGGGCCTTCCACGGGCAGCATACTCCTGCCCCAGGCGTCTCCTCGCTACCCACTGGCTCCAGTGTTGTTCCGCGACCTTGGCATGCTGTCGGCTGCTTATCTTTTGGGCCTCGGCTCCAACGCCTCCCCTGGGAGGCTTTTCCCAAGTCTCGGCTCGGACAGTCCCCTACGGGTCACTCCCCAGTCCAGCAGCGTGTTTGTGTATGATACCGAGCTCTGTGATAGCAGAGACCTCATCTGGTTCCCACCGCGACAGCTCCGGCACCTGGAGAGAATATCTGCAGAAAGGAATTCTTGGGAGAGCAAACTACAAAAATCGCTGAACAGAAGTCTCTCACCACCAGGAACTCAGGGTGGTGTCCAGCCAGGACGGAGTTTCCCTAACAATCCCTAAGAAGCTCTTCTGCCCTCCCCTTCCTGTCCACCTTCAAGTGCGAAGAGACCTCATCAAAGTCACAAAGTCTCGTGTGCTTAAGGCTGAAACTCAAGAAGCTGAGCGATGCCCCCTGTTTCTGGCTCTTTCCAGTCTCAAGCTGACTTGAGAACGTGAGACCCACAACAGCTTCTGCAGGTACCACCGCCCCGCTCGCCCAGGGAGCTCCCCCTACGTTCCAGGGGTTAAATAAGTATTCGGTTTATTTAAATCAGGAATAAATACATGATTTAGCAAAACGTAATGCTTCCCACTTAGAAATCCCCCCCAAGTCCTGCCCGCACATTCCAACCACATGAGTCACAACGGAAAATAACACAGAAGACCCTGTACAAACATTTGGCCTGTGCCAGGTCACCCTGCCGCATGCTGGACATCAGCGTCCCCAGTATTCCAGTCACTTCCTGTATGCCGGCCAGTTCCTCTGAAGCCTTTTGGGATCGTGGAGGAAACCACAGATGTCTTCTTATATAAACACGTTGGACCCTGATAATACAGAAAATCATGTAAACGCATCTCCACGTGCTATGAGCTCGGCGATCTCAGATATTCGGATGGGAATGGTGGACAGACAGGCTTCTCACGTTGGGCAGCGAGAGCTACCCCATCAGGTGCACCGTCCCGCCCCAAGCCCCTGGCCACGGGGAAAGTGAGTCTGCTTCACCTGCAGCCCCTCCGAGCAGGGCCGGCGGGTGGCCAGGAACAGCCTCCTCTCTAGGTGTGCGGTGTTTCTCTCTCATGTCTCACAATGACGTAGGTCAGAGGTAAGCCACGCGGACTCCCCTTTCCCGGAGCTCAGCACTGTGTCCGTGTGGATGCCAGACCCTTTGCAGAACGAAACGCCAGGCCAGTGCATGCTTTGGAATGGATCAATGTCCTCGTTTTCAAAAGATGACCTCAGCCCAGCAAGGTTTTCCACTTTCGCAGGGTCTCGCTGAAACGGGGGCTGCCGGGTCACCTGCCCCTGCCCCGCCCGGAGCCTCGAGCTGAGTTCTGCGTGTACACCCACTGCCACACTACTGGTTTGTGCACATTTCTCCCGGCACACGGCGAGAGCCTCCGCTGGAGCCAGGGCTTTGTCATCCTTTCCTTTTGTTTTTCTGACCTGTCAGCTTACGTAGACTGTAACACAGGCCTCTCCAGGCAACCCTGAGGGAAGGACGGATGCGTTAACACAGGCGCCCCACAGAAGCTCTCTGTGCTGCGAAGCGGAGGCCGGGCCGTGGTGACAGCGCACAGTTCAGGCCCCGTGCTGTGCCCCCCGCCGGCAGCCCCCTCCCACTGGCCCTGCCCCTGCAGATGGGGGGAGGCTTCTGACTTCTGCACGTGCAGCTCTGGAACGAGCAGGGCAGGGAGAGCCCCTGCTTCAGGGCCAAGGAGGAAGGCCAACACTTAGTGTCACCGAGTCCCTTCGGGAGAGAGGAGATGTGGACCGAAGGGCTCGGTCGATTGGCCAAGACAGCTCCGTGCAGGGGACCAATTTGCAACCTAGTCCTTTGGCCGGGACACAGCTTTTGGCTCATCTTCTCCTCGGGCTTTTCTCATTCAGGAGTTTTCTCTGTGAGCTCAGAGAGTGACCCTCTGGACAGTGTGTTGGGGGATAGTCCCTGTGCCCTTGCTCGGGAGAGAGGGTCTGTCCTTCCCACAGACGTGACGAGCACACACATGACATACAAGCGGGGCTCTTCCGAAGCTTCGCCCCACGACATCGAGGGTCAGACAACAGGGAGGGGTCCCTGTGCCGTGACGTGGGCAGAGAGTGGCTGTTCGAGTCTCTCGCAGCTTCTCTTGGCTTCTGGCAGACGTGAGGTTCCCAGGGGCCAGGCAACTGCCTGTCTGCAGGCCCCGGGGGACGGTGGAGCTCCGCTCCTTTGGGCACACGCGTGGCGTCGGCGCGGCCGCTAGTCTTCGAAGTAGGGCGGCGACGAGAAGAAGGTGCTCTTTCTCTTGCTCCCAGGGTGCATCAAGGAGGTGCCTTTCTTTTTCCGGTCCAAGGGAGCACTGTCATCACAGGTCAGGGACAGGTAGGAGGCGATGCTTTCCCGCAGGCCGTAGCTGAAGAGGGACTCGTCCACGCCGAGCGGGTTTCCCGCGTCCTCGGCACCGTCCTGCAGTCTGTGAGCGAGGAAGGGGGGCAGAGGGAGGGGAAAGAGAGGGGCGCAGGGGGGAGGACAAGCATGGGCAGAGAGAGAAAGCCTGGTTAGGATTTCTCTACGTATTGTTCGAATTCTACTCGTATTTGTAGCTGTGTGATCTTAGATAAATCACTTAACCTCTCTGAACCACCGTTTTCTTAAATGCCTAATATGTCAAACGGCACATTTTAGTGAATTATTTTTTTCATGATAGTTACAAAGAAGAGCAGTTTTATTCATCTTCCAGGCAATTCTAACATCTGACTTTCTTTGAATTTGCCAATGGGGTGTCTGGATCAGTATCTAATTAGTAAGATAACCCACCAATCAATCCCCAGCTACACATACCCCTAAAATTCAACAGCTGACACTCAACAAATCAGTAGAAGATGATTTTCTCTTTAAAGAAAAACAAATGATACCTCCTTAGGATTCTGCTGGTGTGTTTAAACTTTCTGAGTGAGTTTAAAATGATATTCAATTTATAGAAGATTTATTTGTGTGTCATTCTCTAGGATCCTAACAGTTAGCAAAAGGAAGATGGTACCTTTCAGCTAGAAAATGTTCTGCTAACCCTGAACGGGGCCTCAGGACATGTTTGCAGAACTAGGGGGCTGGGGGCCCTGTGGGGCAGGGCTAGGGCTGTGCCACCCACTGCTTGTAGTCTGAGGGGGGTCTGCCTCCCAGGGCCCAGCGGGGTTCCACAGCTCTGTGCCCCTCCCTCAGTGTACCCAGCGGGGTTCCACAGCTCTGTGCCCCTCCCTCAGGGTGCCCAGCGGGGTTCCACGGCTCTGTGCTCCTCCCTCAGTGTGCCCAGCGGGGTTCCACAGCTCTGTGCCCCTCCCTCAGTGTACCCAGCGGGGTTCCACAGCTCTGTGCCCCTCCCTCAGTGTACCCAGCGGGGTTCCACAGCTCTGTGCCCCTCCCTCAGTGTGCCCAGCGGGGTTCCATGGCTCTGTGCCCCTCCCTCAGTGTGCCCAGCGGGGTTCCATGGCTCTGTGCCCCTCCCTCAGTGTACCCAGTGGGGTTCCATGGCTCTGTGCCCCTCCCTCAGTGTACCCAGTGGGGTTCAGCAGGGCTGGCTGTAACCAGCCATGGTTTTCGTGTGCCAGGCGCACACGCTGGTTTGGGCTCACACATTCATGGAGGACACACACACACACACACACACACACACCGCACCTGGACATCCTCTTCCAGTCCAGGGTCTTCTGGCGCAAGGTGACGGGCGAGTCGGGGGCCCTCGCTGCTGGGGCAGCCGTGCTCTGAGTGAGGCAGGGCGTGGTCAGCACGCAGCACAGGCCATCGGCCACCTCTGCGGAGGGAGGCAGACAGCGGGTCAGTGGCTCCGGAACGCTGCAGCCAGCGTGGGGGTGGGGCCGAGGGACCATCCAGCACAGCCCCATGCGTCTGGCGACAGCATTTACCTCAGCACGGTGGGCTAGCGGCCTGAGTAGGGAGGCGGGCAGGCAAAAGAAGCAACGGAAGAAGACGGGGAAGGAGAGAAGGGAGAGGGAAGGAGAAGGCGAGAGAGAGGGAGGTAAAGACAGATCAGAAAAGATAAGGGGACAGAAGAAGAAGGAGAAAAACAAAGATTCAAGGCAAAAGAGAAAGGGGACAAAGGACAAAGTGGAAAACAACCCTTTCTCTTTACCAGACACTCAGGCCCAAGAGAATGAAACCTAGATAAACCCCTTTCTCTTTTCCCTCAGCTGGTACAGGCTGTCTGAGCTCCCGAGGTCCCCCGTCGTCCCAGGAACACTGAGGTACAGCCACCATCTCCTAGAAGCCTCCCTCCAGCCAGGCATGGCGAGAAAGGTTGCCCCTGCTATGCTCAGGCATTCGGATAGACTGAGGATGCTCTGGGTGGGGTCCTCAAGTTGAAGACCCCAGGCCTGCCATTCGCAGGGGGCCGGGCCATAAAGCGGCCGAGGGTGCTGGGTGCTGCTGGCCCCCAGCAGGTGGGAGCCGCCTGGCACAAGCGAACCCATCACCAGGTTCCAGGAGGCACATTGCCCCAGTGGTGTCTCCACCTCCCATCTTATTCATGGAGCTCTGGGGGTGTCCTTCCAAAGAACCAAAGGCCGTTGCAGCTGAAGCAGCAAACCCCTATCAGAGGGTGGCGGTCCATGATGCTGCGTTCCAATGTCCCGTCTACTTTCACCTTGGACTTGCATGTCCACCCGCACCGTCCCACACTCAGAAATGTGAGACTGGACCCCCAGGCGACAGCCCTTCCTTAGAAAGGTGAGCACTTCGGGTGGAGAGGAAATTTGGCAACGAGAAAAATTGGTAAGCACAGGACCTGAGCCCAGTGCTGAGCGACATCACCGAGCAGTGGGGACCCTTGGACCCATTTTTGGAATGAGGAGTCTGAGGATCCCCAGTCCCCTCACTTGCTCCAGGTCACACAAACGTGACCCAGCCCTGTCTTGGACTCAGAGCCAGGCACTTGTTCTAGGAGCGAGTCATGGCATCTGAAATGCAGACAAGAGAGCCCTGCACTGCCTCTGGGGTCGGGACACCCCCCCCCCCATCTGCAGCCCTCCAGAGCGCCCACCTTGCATGCCTCTCAGCTCCACGCTCAGGCTCCCCTCCCCCTCTCTTCTGTGGGTCACCACCGTGCACGGAATACTGTATATGCTACACGTTTCACACGCATACTTTTTGGGGTCCTAACAACAGTCCTATAAGAGCGCTTTTAATCCCCATTTTATAGATGAAGAAACGGAGGCATCCAGACGTTGGGTAATTTGCCCCGGCCCCAGAGTAATTTGTAAACGACCGGGATGTCTGCTCAGACCCTTCATGCATGGTCGCCCTGATTCTGTCCTCGAGGAAGGATCTGGCGGGATGTGAAATTGCCACGTTGCTTCCCCTTTAGGGTCCTGAGGGGCTGGGAAGCGTTTTGGGGTTTCAGTCCCTTTCCGGTTACCGCAGGGGTGTCCGTCTCCGGATGCAGTGGCCGGGGGTAGTTGGGAGGGCCCTGCTCGGCCCTGGCTCACTGTCCTCGGGTGATCCCGGCCCGGCAGCTGTGTGGACGGCCCTGACCGTGAGATCCCTGCTGGGCGGCCTCCTTGCTTGTTTGCTGTTGTCTATGCAAAACCTACGGTCTGCAGCCTCTTGTACGATTGTTATTAAAAGCCAAGTACCACAACCGCCCTTGACGCAGCCAGCAGCGCTGACAGCCTGCGGGGCTCCTTCCTCTTTCAGTCTGAGCCAGGCTGCTGGGGTTCGGCCGTCACAGGATCACACTGGTGACCCTGCCTGCCGGGCGGTGATGCCTGTGTCCCGTGAACGACGGGGATTGTCGTGCCCAGGGCCGCGGGCCCCCCACCTTCTGCAAGTGGGGAATGTGTCCAGGAGAGGGGGGGTTGTCCACGGCCTCACAGAGCCCTCTCTGACATCGGGCCCGTGTCTCCTATGCGGCCATACCTCCTGCAGATGTGTGCTTCCCACAGGCCAGGCGTGAGACAGGCCCTGTGCTTGCCTCCTCTCTCCTTGAAACGCCCCTCAGGACCCCACACCCCAAAGGTCCCCAGGGGTGTGAGCTGACCTCTGAAAGCAGGAGACCCCAGCACGGGAAGTGCCTCTCCTTCTTCCGAGGCTCTGAGGACAAGGAGGGGGACGGCGTGGCCGGCCGAGCGCAGGGGGGCGCTCTCCCGGGGCTTGGCCCGCACTGACCGTGGGTTCGCGGCGTCCCCAGTAGGAGCAGCCAGCACCCTCGTTACACAGAGAAGACAAGGGGGCACGGAGCTGAACAGCTAGCCCAGGGCGGCCCAGAAGGTCTGGGACCGGGTTCTACACCCAGCTTTGAGAAACGTAGACACCTTGTTACTATTCCTCCCTCTTCCAGAAGGCAAATCCCAACTCATGCCCTGGCGTGCAGGCCTGTCGGTGCAACTGAAATGTCCTCCTCTAACCCCACCCTGCCCCACCGCCCCTATCGAAACCACACTCTGTTTCTGCCACCTTGGCCGGTGCCCCGTCCGGGCAGTGTGGACTGTCTCCGCCTCCCCTGGGCCAGGAAGGACACGGGCTGAATGAGGCCCACAGCCTGGTCGGTAAGAGCTCACTGGGAAACAGACCACAACGCGGTTAACCAGGCCACAGGGCCCAGCGAGGGACCCCGGGCATCTGCGGAGCAGACTCCTGGTGCTCCGAGGAGGGGCTGGGGCGTGCTGGCGGGAGGCCCGCGGTCTCTGACAGGCAGAGAGAGGAGATGAGCAGCATCTCAGAACAAAGCCCCAGGGGCCTGCACAGTGCACCTGAGGGAGTGCGCGCCGTCTGGTCGTGGGCACGGGCACCCTGACCTCTTTCGCTCAGGGAGAGAGAGGGCCGGGGTAAGATGAGCTGCATTTTACTGGCTCGGGCGGCGCTGGCCTCTTGCAGCCTGAAGCTGACAGTCTGAATGAACAGGAGAAGAAGAGCACGAGGAGAAGGCAGGACGGGCAGAGCGCGCAGGGAATTGCTGGCATGAAGTCACGGCCCAGGAGCAGCCTCGCCGGAGGGCACCACGGGGCCGGCCCTGCAGGTGTCTTACCGGAATAGTGGTTCACCAGGTCCTCCAGGCACTGGAAGGTGAGCCTCGGCGAGATGTAGTACCAGTTGTTCGGCAGGCGGAAGATGCGGTAATGCTTCACCTGCCGGTGTCTCACCGAGAGCGAGTAGAAACCTGCAGGGCGTGGAGGGCAGGTCAGTGGCAGGCCATGTGTGCCCGCTGAGGGCCCCCGCGCCGGAGCCCGCCAGCCTTGGGGCCGAGCGACTTTCTCAGCCTTGTGTACACCCTGGTGCCCGGGCATCCACACTGTGCACACCCTGGTGCCCGGGCATCCGCACTGTGCACACCCTGGTGCCCGGGCATCCGCACTGTGCACACCCTGGTGCCCGGGCATCCGCACTGTGCACACCCTGGTGCCCGGGCATCCGCACTGTGCACACCCTGGTGCCCGGGCATCCGCACTGTGCACACCCTGGTGCCCGGGCATCCGCACTGTGCACACCCTGGTGCCCGGGCATCCACACTTGCGTTTGGAGCAGCCGCCACGAAAACCCCATCTGCGGGATGTGGCTCAGTCTCTAGAGCCCGGGGGGGGCGTGGCATTTCTGCAGCCACATGGCATTGGCCGGGTTGCTGTGCAGGCTTCCTGGGGCGCCGGCCTCCCTTTGTGGAGTTCCCAGGGGGAGCATCCTCGTCCTTTTCTGGATCCTTAGGCTGAACTGGGTGGTTAGAGCTGGGTCGCCCTGCAGGTCAGGGCCGGGGGTTGCCCATGGGCTCTGCCTGAGGCCTCTTGCCAACAGTCTGTGCTGCCATTCTGTCCCTGACCCCCCGACACCTCCACACCTTTGCGAGGGCCTCGGAGCAATGCCCCAACTTCCTCTTTTCAACCCTCTGCTGTAGGCTTGGTGTTCTCAGAAGTTTGGGGGAAGTGGCAGTAAGACATTTTCCTGGGTCTCCCTAGACACATGCGTGTGAAATGTCCTCCCTCTTTACACACCGTGAGCAAAGCCGACACAGGTGGATGCGAGCAGAACCTCGGACAGCACCTTCTCCTCTCCCAGCCTCCGTGTGCCCACAGCGCAGGTGGGAGATTAGACACAGGGCATGTTTAAGTGTCCTTCCTGCGCTGTATTCTGGAGTCCAGGGGTCAAGGGTCACAGGGCGGAGAGAGGAAGAGCATTCGATTTACTGAGTCTGTGCTGCTTGTGCTGGGCTGGACTCTGTCTCCAACAACTCTCCACAAACTCCCAGAGAGACCTGGGAAGGTGTTGTCCCCCGATACTTCATAGGTGGAGAAACTGAGGCTCAGCGCCCCTGAGCGACTTGGCCAGAGGTACGCAGCTTGGAAATGACAGAACTGAGCTTGGACCCTTGTCCTGAGCAGGCCTCTAGACTAGCGTTCTGAGGGGCGTCCCTCGCCTGGCCAGGCCTGCCCTCTGCGTGACCCCAGTGCGTGTCTTCTGGTAATGTCAGCAGGGACTGGAAGCATGGTGAGTGGGTCAAGGGTGCAAGTGGAAACAAGTGGGAACTTTGCATACCCCAGGGAGGGGAGCCCGGCCCACCTGGCCCGGCCCAGCTGCAGATCTGCCTGACGACATCTTTATTTTTAGATCAGCTCAGGCAGTGCAAGCTGGGTTCTCCCCACCAAGGCCAGGCCAGCTTAGAGGCCCTGGGTCTGGGTCCCCTGCTTCGGGGACACGGGGACGTGCACTGGACGTTTGTATTACTTTGATCTTGATCTCTGCTCACACATTAGGTTTTTGAGGGGAAGGTTGTTATTGAATTTTTTATTGTGTATTTATGGTCCCCTGCTTCCCCAAAGTAAGGCTGCTGCTCATGTTGGTGAAGGGCCCCAGCACCCAGCAGTTCTGGAGCTTAATAGATGCTCAAAGAATACTCTCAGGTACTGTGCGTTCTCTTCTTTGACAGTGTGTGTGCAAGAAGCAGGCTGGAAACTGGAAAATGTCTTCTATGTTTAAATAGTTATTATTATTCTTACCTAGTCTGAGAAGGCCCAAGCTGTTGGAGCCTTGCATCTGTTTGTTAAGTACATGCTACGTCCTGGACACGGTGCAAAGCACCTTCCTCCTGCTAATCTCACAGGAGAGATAAAGGGACCCACACGTAGAGAGAGGTGGCGCCTTCATAAGTCACACAGCTGAAACTGGAATTGGGGGCCCTTGGTCTGAACACGGCAACGGCCTGCTGTGTCATCACCAAATTCCTTAACGCGTGGGATGTAAGGAGTTACACTGACGGAGGTCAGGGTGAGTACGTAAGAGCATGCCTCCGCTTTCCTGATTCTTGAAGAGGTCTGACTTCGCAGAGGGAAGGAATACTGGGGTCTCCTGTGTAGCAAGACCACCACAAATAGTATTATCTGAATCACTCCACAACCTTCAAGGGAGGGGTTTTCTTCCCATTTCCCAGACGAGAAAACTGAGCTCAGAGAAGTAAATGAACCCGCTCTAGTTTCCGAGTTCGAGTGCACAGGCCAGACCTAGTCCAAAGCCCACACTCGCCCTGCCCAGCTGCTGCCGACGCCCAGCCTTTGCTTTTTCTCAGTTAATGGGAAATCGTCCAGCCGGGGTCCCCACTACCCGTGTCTAAGTCCCCTAGTGTTGATGCGGGCCTCCCTGGCAGTGTGCAGGCTGCAGGGAGCTCACCCCGTCAGACTGGTTGGCGTGCTCCGTGGGAGGAGGGGAGAGGAGCTGGGAACCTGACCTGGGTCTGACCCGGGCCTGACCTGGGTCTGACCTGAGCCTGACCCGGGTCTGACCTGGGTCTGACCCGAGCCTGACCTGGGTCTGACCCGAGCCTGACCTGGGTCCGACCCGAGCCTGACCTGGGTCTGACCCGAGCATGGCAGGGTGAGTCGGGGGTTGCTCACCTTTCTTTGTCTCACTCTCTCTGATCATGAAGGAGCCGATCTTGGTGTCGGGAAGCTGCAGCAGCTCCTCGGCCTTGTCTCTGCCCAGCCCCTCGAACAGCCAGCTGGAAGTAGGAAGACAGCAATGAGCACCCGAGCTCACCCCCCCACCAAACACAGGCAGGTTCAGAAACGGAGAGCAAGGGCCAGTGAATATAAAACTGTTGGGATTCAAAAGATGAGGTGATGGGCCTTCCTCTGTGCATTCATGCGTACTTCGAATCTTTCCGATAAAATCCTTAGCACCCACGCGTGCCAGGCCTTGCCTTGGCTAATGGGGTCACGGGGAGGCAGTGAGCATCTTTCTTATCCCGCTTCCCAGATGCCACCCAGACCGCGCCGTCTGTGTCACATGCTACCTGAGCACCCAGAAACCGCGTCGGGTGCCTGGGTGGTAGACGCTTTCAAGTCCATCTCTCTGTGATCTAACTGCCCGGCCCCCCTCACCACCCCATGAGTGCAGGGGCTCTATCTGTCTTTCTGGGGTTCGTTTTTGCGTCCGGGTTGTCGAGGTTGGTATATATTTGTGAGCGAAGGAGTAGTCACAAGGAAGGAAGAAAGGAAGTTGGGGTGCTGCACTATTTCACCAGCTTCCCAAGCACCCCTTGGCTTTCGGCCACTTCCTTCTTCTTTTCCAACTGTTTTAAATACAGCGGCGTTGCACTGTGCTTTCTTGTCTTGTCGCACTTAATGGAAAAGAAGGCAGTTGTGCCCGGCTGGTGTGGATCAGTGGTTGAGCATTGACCCATGCACCAACAGGTTGTCGGTTCGATTCCCAACCAGGGCACATGCCCAGGTTGTGGGCCCGATCCCCAGTGGGGGGCATGCAGGAGGCGGCCAATCGATGTTGAGAAGAATATAGCTAACATGTACCGACTGCTCACTGTAGCGCCAGACATTGTTCCAAGAACTGTCCCTGCTGCACCTTCTCCTTCTCCTAACAGCCCTCTGCATGTTATTCTGTATTGTTATTTCTGTAATTCTGCCTTATGATCTCCAGTAAACAGGTGAGGAAAGGTCACAGAGCCAGTAGGTGACAGAGGCAGGATTGGAACCTAGACAGGCTGGCGCAGCCCCTGGGCGTCAGCCCCTGGACAACACGTTGTCCCTGCGTGTTTCCCGCTGTGGGCCAGGAGCACGGACGGAGAGCTGAAAGTCTAACCCGCTCGTCTTCCTGATGTGACCACCGAGGCTCTGATGGGGGAGGGGCCAGCTGAGTTGAGCGTAGAAGGGCCCTTCTCAAACCCAGTGCCTTCCTTGTCATGGTACCAGGTTGGGACCTCTATGCAAACTGACGAGTCACCGGCATAGACACCGTGCCATGTGGATGCTGGTGTGGATGTACTCACCCATGGTAAACTCTGGCCACGCAGATTCCGGGGATGTAGTTCTCTCGGCCAGTGCTAAGGGAAATGGCTTTCCACCAGCCCCCTTCACTGCAACAAGAACAGACGGGAGGGGTCAACGCTCACTGGTAAAGTGAATGAATGAACAGTCATCAGATTTAACCCGCGCACATTGTGACGTTGATTCTGAAGATCTATCATTGGCCACGTTGACCTGAATTCCTACATATGGAGATGTAGTTTCTAAGTATCTCCCCGCCCCGAGTGGAGCTAACTAGGGAATCTTCCCACATGCTGACAGTAGCCACCAGAGATCGGCAGCTGACCTTCCCAGCTGATGTCCCACCAAGGGGGGCTTTTAGAACTAAGTGTGTGTGATACTGATCTACACCCTACGATATAACCAACACAGCTTCGTGTCTGTGTCCATAAGGGTTTAAATAAAAGGGGACTCGAGCCTCTGTGTGTTCTAGAGCCTATTTGGATCAGGAGGACGCAACAGGACAGAAGGCCTTTCGGAGCCTGGGCCCTCCCTCCTGGGTCTGCCCTGGCAGGTGGTACCACCACCGCATGTGTCGTGAGAGATGAGGCTCGTACGAGAAGCAGGGTTTGGAGCGTAAAGGGTCTCAAAAGCCATCAAGGAATTTAAATCGTTATCCAGGAGGCAATGGGCAGCCACTGAAAGTTTTAGAGAGTTAGCAGCATTGGGAAGATGAAGCATTAAGGTCTTCTGTATGGGCCACGATCCTCACTTCACAACAGGACTGGGGCCCATCTAGAATTGGACAGCGACAGCTAAAACCTAACCACTCCCCCCAAGTCAAGGTCATCCTTTTTGGGGGCATTGTAAAAGTTTTCGAGAGCTAACTCACTCAGAAATCACACGCAGTTTCTCCCCTCGGCGGAAGATTGGGGGGCTGATATCAGGAGATGGGTAATCGCTCAGCACAGCCAGGAAGTCACTGTCCAGTCCTGGGAAACAGATAAAAGGTGTTCTTTTCATGAGGAGCCAAAAAGAGGCCCTGGGAGGGGCAGCTGCAAAGATGAGGACATCTTGGGGACTTTGCAGCTAGAGACACCTTACTTATTTTGAAATAGCCATTTATAGAGCAGGCCCTCTCCCCGTCAGGATGGTGGCGCAGGGGCTTAAAGGAGCCCTGGGGTCAGGCCACCTGCTCCCATCCTCAAGCCTGCCTTCTCCTGACGTTCTCATCTGAGAAGTGGTCACGAGTTCTGCCTCCAGCGGCTGCCCGCGTGCCTATTTTTGGGTAATCTTGAGCAAATCCCAGAAGGCCCACCGGACTCCATGTCCCCGTCTTTAAAACGGGGCTGATGATACCGCGCAGGGTCCTGAGGAGATGAGATGAAGCGTGTGGCGGCACCGTGTAAGTGACAAGGCACTCTCAAGTCACCCCTTCTCATTGGCATTGCCTCGGGTGCCCCCTCTGGGCCTGGAGGGTCCCACGTTGATAACATCCTGGGGTGCGGGAGCTTAGGCTACATGACTTCTGAGGACCCCCCAGAACCAGGAAACTCCGAGGCTCAGGGAAGCACTCTTCCTTGTGGGACATGGTTCTGTGTTGGGGTCTATTTAATAGAGAGTTTGGGGGAGGGGAGAGAACAACTAAGTGCTTTTCATCATGTGCATGTTGAAGGTAGTTCTGGTGATGCTGGAGAAGGCGCGCGTGCCGTCTGGTTGGTCTGAGTACCGCTGGCCGTCGGTGGCAGATGCAGCTGGGAGATCGACATGTTTTTTGTCAGTGAGCAAAATCCTTATTTCACAGCCTTAATTGTGCATTCGATTCGGGTAGTGTTGGGGTACCCTACAGATCAGCCAATACGGTCATTGTTTGCTGTGACATTTATCACCCCGTCTGCTGGTGGGGGATCAGAACTCAAAGTTCTGGGTCACGTATAGACTAATTCACCGACAAGTGTTCACTGAGCACCCTCCCCGCATGGGCCCAGCGCGGCGGACACAGCACACAAGCCCCCCTGCCTGAGGGAGCGTCCGTCCTAGAGAGTGCTCACGTAGTCGCAGGAAGGGCCCTTCTCTGCCCCATTCACCCCAGGAAAATCTGGAGAATCCAGCGCTCGGGCATGGCAGCCTGAGTGGCCCAAACAGGCCACTTTCTGGGGTCCAGACACCCCCATGCTGGGGCTGCTAGACTCTTCCCCTGAGAACTCGTATGTCCTGCAGTCTCCGACTCACAGGTCCCGCACAGTCCAAGCCAAAGAGAGCGTGAGTACTAGAATGTGGACGAAAGGTCAATGAGGTTTCCACGACACTGGATTTGTTTATCAGCTGGTACAGGAGTCAGAAACAAGTGGCCCCCGGGAAACGGCTCCTTGGAGTGTGCTGTTGCTTGGGGGGCTGAGTGCAGAGTGAATCCCTGGGAGCAGATGGGGACCGAAAGGGATTCCTGGGGGCTGTAGCCACTGAAAGACCAGGGCTTGTGCCAAGGAGTGGTGTCGCCATGGAAGGACTGTGTGGCCTGGGACCTGCCGAGCCTGTGGGGAGTCCTCCCTCCCATTCTGCTGAATGAACCAAAGGGGTTCTTCCCCGTGGAGCCCAGACCCCACCCCAATAATTGAAGGCAGCACGAGTGTGTGTCGGGCTTGAAGTCAGAAGTCCCAGTTCTGACAAGAGGTGTATCCAGGTTTTGTGGGGCATGAAGCTTATGCAAATTTGGAGGTCCGCTTTAAGAAAAAAAGGGTGCAAAACTGCAAAAACAAAACCAGGGACAGGCCCGAGAAGGTGCCCTGCCAGGGAGGGCGCTGATGCGCTCAGGGGTTCGGCTTCCCCGTAGATCTGCCTGCCTCCGAGTCTGACTTTCTCCGTCTGCGTGTGGGCACGTCCATCCCCACTCGGGCCTGGGCGCGTCTGGAGGACGAGGGGTCGGAAAGGGCCTTCAGGGAGGGACTCTGGACAAATGACCCCTGTAGGAGCCGAGCACGAATGCACGGCCCCTGCTGATTCCGGAGCAGTTGGTGAGCGGTTTGGTTGTGCTCAACTTGCCGGTTTCCAAATCCTCAGCCTCTGCCAGGGACACGCTCTGCCCTTCCCCTCTGACCCTCCACCTCCATGGGCTCAGGGCAGGATTTCCTGCGGTATCTTTTCATGTGTGCGACTCTCAGGGGAACGACTGTCACCTCCGGGGGCAGCGGTCTCGTAGCCCAGCCCGGCAGCGTGCCTGTACCGTCGGGGATGCTCCAGGTTTACTGGAGGAAACGTGGAAGGTCCCTCGCTGCGGGCCCTTGGCCTCTGCCATGTGTGTAAAGCAGAGCTGGAGGGGCAGGCCGCGGGCGGGTGGGCGTCGCAGAACCAGCCCTTCGGGAAAACAAGTGCCGGAGGGAGAGGCCCCGCCGTGGGTGTCTGTGACCCTGATGGAAAGGGAGGGTCTCCAGGGGGGTCACGGCCTTGACCTCTGACTCCAGAGCAAGACGGAAACAGAACAACCGTCTTCCCTAACCTTCAAGCCAAAGCCGAGGAGAGACCAAAGCAAAAGCAAAACCCCGTTAAAAAGACAATGGTTTTAAGGGGGGAAAAGAGGTTGGGGGGCAGGAGAGTTTCAGTTTCTCAGTAGCAATGGTGAGTTTCCTGTGGAATTTCCCATCGTAATGATGTTTTATAGCGGTAACACCTAAATATCACTCAGAAAACCTGTCACGGGGGCCTTTGCTTAAAGGTAATGGCCTTCATGCCCTGGCAGGTGTGGGTCAGCGGTTAGAGCGTCGGTCCGTGGACTGAAGGGTCTCAGGTTTGATTCCCGGTCAAGGGCACGTACCTGGGCTGCAGGTTTGATCCCTGACCCCTATCCGGGTCCTGAAAGAGGCAGGCAATCAATGTGTCTCTCTCACATCGATGTTTCTCTCTCCCTCCCTCCTGTCCGCTCTATCTAAAAATCAATGGAAAAGTATCCTCAGGTGAGGATAAAAAAAAAGTAATGGCCTTCAGGAGGTCCTTTGCAAGAGATCAGGCCCACCCCTGTCACCTTATCACTAGTATCAGAAAAACTGAGGCCGAGCTGGAGGAGGTACCGGAGTTCGGTTAGGAGTTCTGACGGGAGGGCGGTCGTTCTAAATGCAGCCAGATGCTGGGACCCCCTCTACGTCACCCCTGAGCGTTGGTCCCGGCGGTAAAACAAGTCCAACGTTAAACTTATGAAGTTCATGAGTTCGTGGAGTCCACCTCTATCGTTACCACTCCTGGGGCCCATTGCTCTGTGGAGAGCCAGGGGGCCTGGGGCGAGGGCTCTGAGGAAGCGAAGGGGTCACTGCAGACAGAGATAAGAAGGGGGACGAAGTAAGTGACGAAGGACGTGCCAGGCAGGAGAAGAGAAACCCAGAGAGAGTTTTCAGAAGCGAGATGGGCTTTGGTATCCGTCAGACCTGGCTCACATCCCACCCCACCATGTCACCGCTCTGGGATTTGGGAAGAGGTGGGTTGTGAACTCATCTGAGCTTGATCTCTTTCTGGATGAAAATGGGAAATATCAAAACTGCCTCATTTGATCGGGTTGGGACGCAGGCTCCTACCTCGTGGGGGGGGGGGGGGCAGCTAGTTTTTCTGTGCGAGGGGGCGGGGCTATCAGTCCATAATCTCAAACCACTGCAGGCCAGAGTACCCTACGTTTTCAAAGTCCTCTGAATTGGGTACATTTTCAAAGATTCTTGCCCTGGCCGGTTTGGCTCAGCGGTTAGAGCGTTGGCCCTTGGACCAGAGAGGCCCAGGTTTGGTTCCCACTAAGGGCGCGTGCCTCGGTTGCAGTTCGTCCCTGGCCCTGGTTGAGGTCGTGTGGGTGGCACCCACTCGATGTGTCTCTCTCACATCGATGTTTCTCTCTCTCTCTCTCTCTCCCCCTCAAGATAAATGCAAAAAATGTCCTCAGGTGAGGATAAAAAAAAAAAAGATTCTTATCTGCCAAAGATAAACTGCATTTGGTGAGAACTGAAGATGGAAACCAAAAGGCCAAATATTTGCTGATAGCTCAACTCAAAAATGAGTCAGAGTGAACAACTTGTACAAATGTGTAAAAATAGCAAATGACCCCAAAGAAGGAAGGAAGCCCAGGCAGAACCTACTAGCCGCAGATATTACTTGGTCAAAGAGGACACGCCCCCTTGTTATTACATTATTATCCCTTGAAGTATTATTACTACTTTTTAAGTGCTGAGAAACTTTTAGTAGATCTCATTATTTTTTAACATTAAAAAAAATTTTTTTTTTTATCTTCACATGAGGACACTTTTCCATTTATTTTCAGATAGAGTGGGAAGGGGAGAGAGAGAGAGAAACATCAACATGAGAGACACACATCTATTGGTTGCCTCCCACATGACCGGCTGGGGACCGAACTGCAATCGAGGTATGTGCACTTGACCAGAATCGAACCTGCGACTCTTTGGTCCATGGGCTGACGTTCTAACTGCTGAGCCAAACTGGCCAGGTCTAGTAGATCTCAGTTTTATAATCATCTAGCAAAACTAGACATTCATTACTTCTAATGCTCCATATGGGACATATACACTTATTTAAAGGGCGAAGAAGCCAAGGCTGGAGAGTTTAGCAAGGTGTTCAGGGGAGATAGTGAAGATTTCCAAGTCCGTGGTCATGTCACATAGCTCTCCTTGGCACCTAATTACCAGGTTCCCCCAAGTTAACACTTGGTCCTTGACAGGTTGGGACAAAGGCTGACTTAAATGAGGCTTCTGGCCTGACTGGAGTGGCTCAGTGGCTGAGTGTCCTCCTGTGCACCAAGTGGTCACCGGTTCGATTCCTGGTCAGGGTACATGCCCAGGGTGTGTGCTCAATCCCCAGTACAGGGCATGCAGGAGGCGGCCAGTCAATGTTTTCTCTCATTGATGTTTCCATCTCTCTCTCCCTCTCCCTTCCTCTCTCTCTAAAAATCAATAAAGGAAAAAAGTAAAAAATAAATGAGGCTTCTGAGGCGCCGCAGCATGATGTACCTGGTGGGCAAGGAGCTAACCCAGTAATTTCGGCTTTTGCTTAAACATTCCTTGACTCACACCTATGCTCACAGCCTCTAGGGGGAGGAATGGAGTCAGAGGCCTCAATTTTCAAATCTTTCACAGAAGACACATGCACACATGCTCACCAATCAGACAGGGCCGGGCAGATTTGCCTGATAGAGGTCAACCCAGTTCTGCTAGTTACCGCAGAGCATGGGCTGTGCCTGTGGGCCCTGTATTGTGGGCAAGAAAGGCAGACACCATGGTCCAGAAAGCTCTTTTCTGTCCACAGCCTTGGTTTTTCTATCTGTTAGATGGGCAGATGGGCACTGAGTATCCCCCAAGGCTCTTAGATGCTACAGTGAGGTGCAGAGACTTGCCTGAGAATACACAGCTGCCCTGGCCAGTCTGGCTCAGCGGTTAGAGTGTTGGACCACGGACCAAAGAGCCATGGGTTTGATTCTGGTCAAGGGCACGTACCTCGGTTGCGGTTCGATCTCCAGCCCTGGTCAGAGTCATGTGGGAGGCAACCAGTCGGTGTGTCTCTCTCACATCGATGTTTCTCGATCTCTCTCTCCCTCCCTCCCACTCTGTCTGAAGATAAATGAAAAAATATCCTCAGGTGAGGATTTAAAAACAAGAACACAAGCTGGTAAGTTGAGTGCCTGGTCTCAAACCCAGCTAAGTGCCAGCAGAGAGCACACTCCGTTCTCCATCACCAGCTCTTCTGGTCAGAGCCGAGCCCACCTGCACTGCTAACCGGTGACACTTTTCTTCCTGTCCACTCACCTAAAAACTCGTCAGTCCCTTCCAAGCAGGGCGGAATCGTGGGTCTGATGGACTAGTTCTTTTTCCATCACAGCCATTCAATGCACAAGGTTATACAAGTTGAATGGTCATGTCCCCTCTCAGCCCGTCGTAAGTATCAGCAGCGGACCTAGTAAAAGCCCTCATGCAGGTTCCGGTCTGTGGCACCCGCCCGAGGGCCCTTGAGTATCTGTGTCATGGTATCGGGTGACCACGCTCTGGAGAGCACCCACCCCCTCCTTGAAACTGTCCTTGTCCTCTCCAAGCCTGTAATGTTGGGGTGAAGGGAGGGACTCTAGGTCCAGGCCACCTGGCTCCGTATCCCAGTGGTCCCCTCCCGAGCTGCGTCCTCAGGCCTGTAACTGAACTTTCTGCTGCCTCAGTTTCCCCAACTGCAAAGCAGAGGCGATCGTGGCGACTGTGCTGCGGCCGTCGTGAGAATTAAGATGACGTGTGTCGAGCTCGTGGAATCTTGTCTACCACGCTCTAAGCACCGACTAACTCTAATTATCCCCATTTTGCAGATGAGAACAGAGAACCCACAGAGACAAACTGAGGTAGCTCATCCTCCGTCGGGTGTTCCTGGACGGGCAGGACTAACAGCTAGGTCTGTGGTCTGCAAGCTTTAGGGAGCTCAAGAGGCAGCAGGGGGCTTGTAAGCAATGCCAGGTGCCGCTCCTGCCCACCCACCGTCACTGGGTTCCCATGAGCAGGGCTGCAGTGGGCCAAGGGATCTGCATTTGATGACTTCCCCGGGGACCTGAGGTGGGTGGTCCAAGGACCACTTACTGGATGTGCCAGGCTGGGCGGAGACTTCCCTGCCCCCTCCTGCCTCCCCAGAGCCCCACCCACCCCTTTTTCCACCCGGGCAGCACCCTGCGCTATGTAAATGCGCTGCTTGGCGTTCTTCCCCGGGCCTGCAGCAAGGGGTCTGAGGGGGGCTGGGTTTGCATTTGCACCTGTCGGGGAGTTCTCACTCTAGGTCAGGGCAGTGAGGAGGCAAGAAATGAACAGGGGAACGACCACAGCGGAGTGCCTGAGTTCTCCCTTTAAGGTGGAAATCGGCTATTTCCCCGCAGCAGGGCGCTCTGCGGGCCTTGTTTGAGCCCCGTCCACCTGTGTGTCCGACACAGAGCAGGCTCTGAAACAGGCGTGGGATTGTAGAGACAGGGAGCTATCTGGGATGATTCGCAAACAAGCCATGGGCGCCCCAGTTCTACCACTTTGAGCCTTTTTGGGGGTTCAGCCATTTGGACCCAGCCTTGTGCCAAATGGAGCTTTAAAAACAGTGACTCCACCCACATGCATCGGGGGCTCCTGGGTGCACAGGCTGAGGGACGGATCTTCTGATCTCGAGCTGAGTCCCGCCTCCTGGGGCACTTACCGAAGGTCACCCAGCTCCCAGAGGACAAGCCAGAAACTCAAGGTCATTCTGAGGGCTGCTCCATTTCCTTAGGTTCTGCCAGCTCTGTGACTATCGTGATAATAGTCTCTGGGAACTAGACTGCTCGGCAATGTTCTGCAAAACTTCCTTTAGGAGCAAACAGTTGGGCAAAGTCACAGTCCCGGTTCGGGGGAAGGAGCCTCTGAAAGCTCAGAAAACGTCCTTGTCCCGAAGTCCACAGCTCGGCCCCTGCGGGCCTTGGTGCTTGGTCCCCAGCACTAAGGCTAAAGCAAGTTGCTCTGGCACTAGGGGGCTGAGGCAGCTGCCCCCCTGCCACCCCCAGGCATCTGAAACACACCGAATGAGTAAGCGCTAGTGTGAGCTGAGTAGGTGTGTGTTCCGCGGAAGGCGAGCCCTTCGCGGCATTTGGATAAAGACTAACGAGGGCGGCATCAACGGTGCCACCTTCCTCTCCCGCATCCCCGTAGATGTCAGAGAAAAGAGGAAATCAAGCTAGGACTGATCTCAAGGGGAACTTTTCAGGGGTGGGGGATGGAAAAGCCACTCGCCGGCCCTTGATGTGGTTGCCTGGATTACAGACTGGGTAAGACCTGGGGAATTCTCTACCCAAGGGGTGGAGGGGTGGGGAGACCCCTCTACCTCATTTATTGAGATGACCTCCCACCCACACAGTGGAAAAAGAGAAACTTATTTCATGACGATTTGCATTTTAAAAATACAGGCAAATGAGCAGGTCTTTGGAGGCCTGTGTTTTCATAGGGTTTGCTCAAGCATGCGGCCCCCTTGACCCCTGTGTGAGAAGTGAGGGCGCAGGTGGATTTGGGGGGTGGGTGCCTCCCGAGCTGGCCGGGCCTCCGCATCACAGCTCGTTTTCTAGAAGTGGCCATGCCCTGCAGGAAGCGTGGCCTGAGCGGTTTGGAGAAGTCAGGAGGAGGAAGCAGGCCCTCCCCTCCCGGCTGCAGCAGGACCCGAGTGCACCGCTCGCTCCCCCCGTCACGGGTCCCAGCTCCTCGGTCCCAGCGACTGCTTCCTTGTCCCTCTGAGGTTGGGGGACACAGTCCCAGTCTAGAGTGGCCTGCATCTGCCTTGAGCAGGGTGCAGGCCAGCAGGTCCGCATGCCCACTTAGGGGCGTCTAGGGGTCCAGGGGTGCAGAACCTGCCTCCGCTTCGGAAGAGGGGCCACAGAGGTTGTGGAATGGGCTGCAGGCAGAGGCAGGGCAGGGACCCGGCTCTGTCCACTCGCACGCTGAGCTGCGGCTTGGCAGACCTTCCAATGGACACCTGTGCCTGTGACCTTTGCCCAGTGCAGTGGTGCAGGGCTCATGGGGAACCAGGCGTGGTCACCCCTGGAAGGCCAGGCCCAGTGCTGTGACGGAAAATGGCAGGTGGAAGTGTCCCACAGTCTCCAGTGACTGACCCTGGGGACACCTGACCTCCTGACCATCCCCTTCCCAACGCGCTCGAGAAGCCATGCAGTGTGCCCCCCAACGCCCTGCCTGGGACGCAAAGCCAGGTGTTAGCAGCGACCAGCACCACGAACCCAGAGGGGGACGGGCTTACTCTCGCCTTTGCGGTCTGCTTGCTGGGTCCTCTCCCAGCCCTCCGGCCAGTCCCCGAACGACTGTCGCTTTGGGGGCCTCGCTCCACCTGGCCACTCTGGGCACAGCGGACTTTTGTCCTCACTGATTCACCTGTGGCGCTGCACCCTCCCCCTGGAACACCTGACCCTGTGACCCTTTATCTTCAGGAAGATTCCCTGGGCTGGCAGTGAGCCTTATAAAGTTACACCGCAGCAGAGCTTCATTGGTATCGTATGCCCATGATAATATCATGCCCGTGAAAGTACCATAGCAGCGGCTGGCAGGGTGTACGGGAAGCAAGAGCCTCGGTTTCAGCCTCAGGCCAGCCTGGGTTGGATGTCTGAATCCACAAACAACCTATATCCCGTCTGTGGACTTCAGTGTTCTCCACTTTCAAGTAAAGGGATTGAGCCAGCCCTTCTCAGAGGTCCATCACAAAATGCCAACACACTGGCATCCTCCCGGGGTGCCGCCACCCAACCTCTTTAACATTTAATTATGAAAGTGTTCACTACAAGCAGAGTGAGGGAGGCAAGTATAGGGACTTCGTGTACAGGCTGCTCTGCTTCAGCAGTGACCAGTACCCCAGCACCCCATCTTCACCCCGGTCTCTCCCGGGATAGAGTTAGACATTGCCCCGAAGAAGCAGACTTACCATCTGAGCAGGGCAGAGGCCTCTCTGGCGGTGCCGGGGTGGATCGCATGCTGTTCCCCATTTCTGCAGCTCTCTGGGCTGTCGAAGATGCTCGAAGCCTGCGGCACAGGGGATACACATGGAGCGTCAGCCACGCGCCCAGCCCTCTGGGTGGAGAGTGACCCAGTTTAGAGTACATTGTGTTTCATGTTCCAGGCAGCTCGCTCCTTGGAAGGTGGCTGTTTTCATGTGACGACGAAAGTCGTGAATGTTGGTTACATTTACGCAGCATGAGTTCTTTTATCAAGGGAATGACAGAGAAAAACCACAGAGAAGGAAGTTGCTAGCAAATGCTGTTGGTGGCAACAGTTTCCATTCCCCTGCACCCCAGTGACAGCAAGCTGCAAGCCGCCTAGCTGAGGGTGTCACGTGGCCTCGGGGTCTCTCCACTCCTGAGCCCTGGGCCGCCGTTGGGGTGCGTTACCCCCCCAAAGGGATGCAGGGAGGGAGTGTTCTCTCTTCTGTTTGAGTTTTCAATGTGCTCTTGCAGACAGAGAGAAAGGAAAACCACAATAAAACCATATCCCTGCTGCATGCTGCACGCTTTTACGTCTGTCGGTACTTTTAAAAAAATTCTTTTTCAAGGACAGTTGACATACATTATTTTCTTAGTTTTAGGTGTGTGACATAGGACTAGACATTTATAAAACTTACAAAGTGATCACTGTGGTACCATACATAGTTATTGCAATATTACTGACGACTTTCCCTAGGCTGCTCTGTACATCCCCACGACTACTTTTGCATCCAGCCTACAAATCCCCTGTCCACCTGTCGACCATCAGTTTGTTCTCTGGATCTATGAGTTTGGTTTTGTTTGTTCATTTTGTTCTTTAGATTCCACGTCTAAGTGAAATCATACGCTACCTATCTGTCTCTCTCTATCTGACTCATCTCACTTAGCATAATGACCTCTAGGTCCCCCCATATTGTGGCAAAAGGCAAGACTGCATTCTTTTTTAGGGTTGAGTAATATTCCATTGCAGAGATTTCACTGTGCAGATTTCATTGTATATTTTTGATTATTGTAAAGTCCTTGCATCCTCACCCTGCTTTTAAGTGAAGGAAACTGAGTCTCAGAGAGGGTAGGGGACTTGTCTAAGGTCACACAGCATGTCCCAGTGGGGCTGGGATTTGAACTACAGATGCTAAGTCTCCAGTTTGTGCCATAACGGTTCGGGTTCTGGCTTGGAACACACAAGCTAGGCGACCTTGGGCACATTAATGACCTCTTTCTACCTGTATGGGGGAATAAAAATAAAATGACATTGGGTTGTGGCTGCAAAACTAACAGATAAACCACGTGAAACACTTAAGAACATGGCCTGGTACAGACGTCTCATCGAGGCCCCCACCGCCCATGTCCGGCTTCCAGTGCCTTCCTGGGGCCCATTGGTCACCCCAGGCCCCCAGCCTCCCCAGCTGTCATTGCCAAGCCTTTGGGGTGCTGGAGAGAGCTCCCAGCACCAGCTGAGGAGAGGCTTTGGCAGGACAGACGTGCAGAGATGACCCAAAGCCTTGTGTGTGGGCCCCCCAATTCACTCTCTCTCGTGTCCCCACTCCGCAGAGCGCTGCATGGTCATCCCCTCTCTGACAATGCCATCCTGTCTCCTGTAGCCTGGCACTTGGGGATAAGGACCAACTAAGATTACAGATTATCCCCATAAACCTGTGCCCGGGCACCCACCACCCCAGCCATCCAGGGCCCCGTTTCTCGGCCTATCTCCTCCCCACTCGGTCCCTCCTCTGAGTCACTCCCAAGCAGTAGGCGCCAGCTGTCACGTCCGTGTGACCTCTTCCTTTACATCACGACCCCAGCAAACGCCCTGGGGAAAGACTTGGTCACCTGTGCAACGTAATCCCACCGTCACCTCTCCTCCAGCCGCTGCGTCGTTCTCAAGCGTCCGTGTGCTCTGTGCGGGGTTCGAGGAATCCAGCACAGGAACTAAAGAACCACTTGAAACTGGTGTTTTCCGATCGGAGAACTGGGGGCTCGCCGAAGGAAGGAACATCCCAGGGTCTCCAGATGAGAGGGTTCTTCCCCTCCGACTCTCCCTGTCCCGCCTCCCCCTCTGGCAGGGGGCGTGCAGGCCGGGTGAGGGCTGGGTTTCATGCCCCCCACATAGCACGCTGGTCAGCAAAACCCATCGGGCTCACCAGCCCCTTAGTGGTCTGCTCGCCGGCTTCCTGCCGTCTCCAGGAAGGAGTTAAATCCGACAGAGGCTTTGATTGGAGAAAAGGGGGAAATGCCCCAGAGAGGGAGAGCCGGAGCCTCCCTAATGAAATGGCTGAACAATTTGATTCAATCTGTGAGGGTTTCACGTGGGAGCTGGGGTGGGGGAGGGTATGAGACATAATTGCTTCTAGGAACACTAAGGAGAGGGCAAGAGAGAAATGAGTTAATTAACTGTGGTGCTAACGGTTCTTGATTTCTCTCTGCCTCCTCGGTGGTGTCAAAGGACCGGAAACGGTTTTTGCCTCTTACTTTCCCTCCATCCTTTGGATCGACGCTCTCTTCTTTGCCTGACCTTGGGCCTCAGTTTTCTCTTCTGCAAAATGAGATGAGTGGAAAAGATGCTCTCCAAAGAGAGAGCCACTTAATTAATTCTAGCAATCAAGACTCAATGACTTTTTAAAATGATTAATAAGGGAAAAGCACCATTGTCGCTTCCGTGTGACGTCCCATTAGACAGAAGGCAAACTCGGGATCGAGGGGAGGCCGTTCGTGGGAGCTCTGTGCCCACCTTCTGGTGGGCAATTAGCAGATGCCATTGTGTTTAATCTTCCAGCACCCAGGAGGCGGGTTCCTCTTTCACCTTCTCCGGAGGTCAGCCCATTAGCTCACCAGCCTGCTCTCAGAACTGGGACCCCGCGGGGAGGCGGGGGGCACACCTACCTCTCCTGACTTCAGACCCCAGGTCCTTCCCCGTGGGCCATGCTGCAGTCTCGCCATGGGAGGGAGAAAGCTCCCCCAGGAATGCGGTCAGGGACTGGCTGGCTGCCACGGGAGGGGACACACGGCAGGGAGGGGTCACAGCCCGCAGGGAGCTGCCAGCAGGAATGTGGGCCGTGCCTGCGCCACCAGCCTCTGTCTGACAGACCAGGGGGCCTGCGTCCTGTTGTCTGCGTTCCCTATAAACACGGGGTCAGGCTTCTCCGGACCCTCGTGCCTGGGCAGTGTCCCAGGACGGGTGTGCACTGTCCACTCCGCGCTCCTGAACGCCAGGCCGCGCTGTGGGATTGGAAGGCCGCCCGAACCCCTTCATGTGTGCGGGGGAGGGGGCAGAGGAGCCTCGGGCAGGGAGGCGGGTCTGGGCTCCTAGTAAACCAGGAACAGCTGCGAAACCTTGGTGGCAGCTGCCATGTGCAAACCTACTTAGGGATTCCGCCCTCCCTTTGGCCTTAGAATGTCTTCCACAAAGTCAGAGCGCGAGACCTAGTCACGTGACCTGCTTCTAACGCGTGTGAGGCCCTGAGTGGAAAACCCACCCTCACCATCCCGATCCCAAACCCCCCGCCGCCGGGAAGCCAGACCCGCCAGCGGTGTTGCGATCAGCCCTTCTCCGCACCGGGCGAAGCTTCTGGTAGCTGCCATGCTCGGGGCATCTCACAACAACTGCACTTTATCAGTGAGACCCGTACGTGACTCGTCCCAGGTTACAGGACCAGCTAGAGGGACGGCTGGGGTCAAACCAGGTCTGCCCGGCTCCACGCCCCGTGCTCTCCACCGCCCCGACGTGCTGCCCTGCTTTCTCGCCCTCCGGTCTCATCGAAGAATGCGACAGAAAAGAGATGTTTAAAAGTCAGCAAAGCAAACTTCAGGGACTGTAAACATTTGGGTGAAACTTGACCACAAGGGACACAGAGGTCCCAAGGGGTCTCTTGGATGTCAGGTGGTGGTGTTTGGAAGCCCAGGTCTGGGGATCTGGCTGTGGGGGCAGAAGGGATGGGGGAGAGAGAGGCCAGCTAAGGCCTCTGGGATCTCAGCTGTCACGGCCATTCTCCGGTGCCTGGCGTCCTCAAAAGGGCAGCAGCGAGTCACAGGGACTGTCGTAGCCTCATTTCAAAGAACAGTGAACGCGGGGGGAGGCCGAGGGAGGGGAGCCGGTGGTTTTGTAGCACTTCAATGTGTCTGTGCAGAGAAGTGATAGGAAATGTTTCCAACATGCCTCCAGGCTTCTCTGGGTAGTGAAGTTATAGGTGATTTATTGATTTGTTTTCAGACCTTTCTGGAGTCTTCAGATGTTCTCCCACATGCACGAATTGCTCTTATAATCACGAGCAGAGCTTGGAAAGAATAAGGGAGACTGGAAAAGGGATTTTTTTCTTTTAAGCAGGCCAGACTGAGCTGTGTGTCCTGGGACAAGTGGCTGCACTTCTCTGAGCCTTGCTTTCTCAAATCCATAAAGTTGAGGTATGAATCCATGCCCTGCAGGGTTGTTCAGAGGATCAGACAGATTGCATCCCAAGTGGACGAAGTTTGATGAGACAAGATGGCTAAACGTTGACCAAAGCCCGATTCCTCGGGGCACTGGACTGTGCGTGGTGGGCAGACCCTCCCCTCCTGGGGCCTTGGGGTCCTCAGATATGACGGGGAAAGGTTGGGCCAGACAGCAGCTTGTGAGCCTGTGGCCCAACTGTTCCTGTTGTGACTGGTCCTAGCTCCCCGCCTTGTTGCTTTGGGCCTGGCCCAGTGCTACCAGGGGTCTGACCCTGCAGCAGGGACAGGGAGAGCTGGGACAGGGGCTCGACATCAGGTGGAGTCCCTGCCAAGGATCTTGCAGGATTTCCGGGGCACCCCACCACATCCTGACCCCACTCGGCAGGTGCACCTGCCCCGTGACCCACATTGCGCCTGCTCTCCTCTGGGGCAGGTGCAGCCACAGGCCCGCCGACCACCCACCTCGTTCACCTTTCCCTGTGCGGAGCAGGAGGCTGCGCACAGCGGTGGCCGGGCGCCGGGAGGGCAGGGCCAGGGCGAGTGGGCAGCGGCTCAGACAGAGCTGCGGCCACCCGCCACCTCCTGCCTCGGCCAGGGGCTCTCAGAGCCCCCAGAGCGGGCCTTGGGGTTCGCTCACCCAGGACATTTCATACCTGCTGGTTTGAAACCTGTGTGAAGAACGTTCCCCAGAAACTCCAAACGTGAACTAGAGAAAAGCAAGCTGCCGGTTGGGGGTCAGCACGCTGGCCCCCTGGTCCCACACCCCATCCCTGGAAACCATGAAGTATGACGGAAACAGCACTTCAGTGCCTTCGTGTCGCACAGAAAAGGCTCAGAGCTCGGCCGGTTCGCACATGTGTCTGTCAGTCTGTCCGGCTCTGTCCACCCGGGAGCTGCTGCCCATTGGTCAGCGGGGCCGGCAGGTCCGACCTGTGTCCCCAGAGGGGACCTGTGTGCTCTCAGGCTGACAGCGGGCTTGGCTCCACCCCAAGACCAGGGCGGAAGCGGCCTATCCAGCATTTTAGGGTCGTGTTAGGATGTCAGAGGAAGAAGCCAGCTTTCGGCCAGCGGGTGCTGGGAAATTTTCAGTTTTACCCCTGTTAAGTCACTAAACGTCTTTCCATCGT